GATAACCCCATCCAGGCTCTGAAACCTGCCACATCTTGCAGGTGGGCTTGCAGCTGCAGTGCTGGACCAAGGCAGTGCTTGTGGGATGGATGGACTTGGGAGGGAGCAAAATCATTTGGTCACTTTTGGAAGTGGGGAAAAATAAGTAACACTCCTCCAAACTTTCCATGGTGGTTCTTTTTCTGCTTTCCCTGCCTCTAGGTTTTTACAGATGTTTGGAGCTGCTGTGCAGTGGCCCAGACTGGGGTGCAGTGCACCCCAAAATGCTGCAGGTGCCTGCTGTACATGTCCTGAAACCCTTTTCTGTGTGTGTCCATGAGGCCTCACGTGCCCCAAAACAGTGGGATTTATTGCCCATGCACTGCCATTGAGCTACACCTGCTCGGCAGGTCCACCTGATCCTTCCAGGAAATCCCAAGCAGGAATAAGCAGTGCTGGCAATGCTATCCCCACACAAGCTCCATGGGGATATCCAGCAGCAGTTGGGAAGAGATGAACTGCTTTGTTTTCACATGGTGCTGTTTTCATAAGTCAACGCCAAAGGTAATAAATCTGTCCTATGGAAAATTAGTGAGTGGTTTGCTGTACAAACTACTCCTGTGTGCTCCAGGGCCAGGAGCAGAGCTCTGTGGAGCTCCTGGCCAGCACAACCTGCTCATACCTTTTTGTCAGAGGACCAAAAAGGGCCCCCCTCGTTGTTGATCAAAATGTAGTTGCCAATGTTGCAACAACATGAAGATTTGTTTGTTTATTGAATGTTATTGTATGGCTTTGTGGTGCCTTGGAAGTATCAGTGAGACTTCACCAGAACTCCCTCACCAAAGGAACACAGGATATGGCTGGTCCAGCTTGTTGTTTTGTTCCCACATGTGCCTCCCAGAGCTGGAAAACTAAAATCACTTTCTCAAGGGAGGGAATAGAGGAGAAATGTGCAAGTTTTGCCATTGTGTGCTGCTTAGACAGGAGGATGGATGGATGCATGGGCAGAGAATGTGCTGCTCCAAAAGCAGCTGACTTTTTCTTGTCTCCCTGAAATCTTTTACTCTTCCTGTCTTTGAACTGTCACACTGGGCAGCAATAAGAATTTTATTTTCATGGGATTTTGGTGCTTGATAAAGCTGCCCACCATCCAAAGATGCAAAGGAATGGAGCGTGGGAGATGGAGGAAATGCCCTCATCTCCATCTTCCTCTCCTGGCTCCAGTGCTTTCTCCATCCTTCCAGGCAGTGATAGTCACTAAGGAAACTTGCTTCTAAACCACTAACAGCAACATTAACTAGATGTAGGGATATTACTATTTTGAAAGAAATCTGGTTGCTAATTAAAATACTGTCAGAATTTCCTGGCTGAAAGCTCATTTCATGAAATCCCAGGCGCTGGTCAAAGGTTGAGTTGTACCTGGCATGCTTTCAGAGGTGGGGAGAGCAAGGAATCTGTGTGCCTGGAGACAAGTGTGTGCATCAGATCTGGTGCTTTACCTCCTTTCTCCATGAAGAAGGGAAAAAAATTGCCAAAGCAGCTGGGAGCATAGAGGTTTTTATTCATCTGACTGATAATAGGAGCTAAATAAAGGCTTTGGAAAAAAACCCAACCATTTCTCTTGCAATATTGGTTGGGCAGAACTGTACTGGAACTAAACATGGAATGAAAAGTCTGGCTTTTCTGCCAGCTCTATTTTTAGAGCTACTTCTCCATCTTTGCATCTCTCTCTGAGATTTCTCAGCAGATGCACTTGAACCAGGCAATCTGCTGTTATTTTTTCCGGCAGGCTGTGATGTTCTGCAGGATAAGGATGTTGGATGGAGGGTCAGGAGACTCACCAGACTTGACAAAAATCCCCCTGAATACCAGATGCGGGTCCTGTTCCAGTTTTGGGTTCACTGCAGTCACAGACTGCTGAATATTTTCTGTGCTCTGTTAGGAATGACCCTAACCCTTCCATGCTGGAGGGGAGTGACTGTGCAGTGTTGGCTGGCTTCTTTGTGTCCCAAAATTGCAGTCATGACTGGAATAAAATTCAGCAGCAGTCTAACAGCACACAGCAGTGCTAGTGATGGGTCTGGGTACGGAGGGAGGAATTGCATTTGGCTTTGAGAGTGAATATGTGCACTGGGCTTCAGCTGAGCTGCTGCAGCTGATCCAGAAATAATCCAACAAGAACTGAGTTTTTTGGGGTTTGGTTTTTTCTTTTTTTTTTTTTTTTTGCTTCCCTGTGAAAAGCAGTAATAAAAGATGAAAGCATGCCATCCCTGGTCTTGGACATCTAACCCTGCCAGTGGGGTTGGGCCTGGCCTTTCAGAGAGCTCCCAGCAAGCACAGACACAGTTCTCCCCAGTGCCCACTGTGTGTACGTGTCTCCCATGACTCAGAATGTACTGAAACCATCTACATCATCTTCTTTCAGCTGAAGAGGGCCCTGATGGGTCAGGAGCCTGTGGCTGCCCGACCCTGCCCCTCCCTGCCCCCGGGGGCACTTCAGCAGGACTTGCAACCACCAGCACTGAGTTTTTTTTCTGGCTGTTGTTTTCATTTTGTGAATCACTGAGCCTGAGGCTTGGTTTTGTGTCAGATTTTGGTGTTGCTTCAGTGTTTGTGCAAAAGCTGCACCAATTTGACTGCATGGAAATCCATGCCCTCCAGAGGGAGGGGACTTCTGAGAACTAGAAGCGTGCAAGGAGTTTGGACTCAAGGACATTTCCTTCCAGCATAAAACTGGACATCAAGGAGGACCCCCCCAGAAACTCCATGGGATTTATTGACTATAAATTTGTAACTGGCATTGCAAAAAGAAATGCAGAAGAGAGGGATGCATGTCACATTTCTAAATTTGTGTTTGTGGTTGCTGTTCATTCAGAGCAGAGGCTCCCCCAGTGCCTGAGGCCAGAACATGTAAAGGCACTCTGGAGCTGCAGGGAATTTTGTCCAGCTAAAGGCAGTGCTAGATTCCAGCAGGAACATTAATTTATTCCCTGGAGAATAAAGCTGGAGGAGGGTTTACAGTGGAGGGAAGGTGTAACTCCACAGGCTGGTGCTCAGCCCTGTTCCCATGCCAAGAGGCAGATGTTAAGCTGTGAGAACTGGTCCTGCAGAGAAAGCAGCTGCCTGAGCTGAAGCCTCTTGGGTTTCACTATCAAATAACAGCTTTGCTGAGAGTGTAAATGGGCAGAAAACACTGCTCCTCCAAAAAAACCTAGTCTTGTGTGCCTTGAAAACACATGGAGGTTGCAGAGGGGAATTAGGGCAGCATTTAGGTCTGTTTTCCCTCAGTTTTTACTAACTTTAAAGGGATGTTTGTTTCTCCTTTGATTGGGTTTGCAAGTCTTTTAGCATTAGGGAACTGTGCTGGGTGGCCACTTTGGTTTCTCCATTCTGGATGGAACCAGTCCTTACCAGTGCAAACCCTGAGAGGTGACAAATCCCACCCTCCTGCCCATTCCCAGCTGGAGATGGTCTCTGACCTGCTGTGCTTCATGAAGATTTCCCAGATGGATCTACTTCACTCCTCCCCGAGCATCTCTCTCAAGCCCTCTTAGTCTACTCCCAGGTGTGAATTCAGGTACCACCAGCCTGCAAAGAGAACCAGAGCAATTCCTGATAAGTGGAGGAGAGGCTGCCCCAGAACCAGAGGAGTGTTTGGCACGACCCTGAGAGGTTTTTATCTGTATGTCCTGCTGAGGGGGTGACTGAGGTGGTGCCAGTCCACAGGGCTGCACCATCCTCTTGCTCCATACCCACACACCAGCACTTGGCCCCCTTGTCTGAATGACCATAACAAGATATGTGCTTTTTGGATGACTTGGTAGATTCAAATGCCTCTTCCTTGTTTCTTCTGCCCTTTAAAAAGTCTTTTTTGGATTGTCAGGGCTATTTTGGAGGCATGTTATTATTAATATTTGCCCTCTGGCTCAGCATGTGTGTGGCTGGGGCAGGGCTGAGGTGGTGGCTGCTGTTCTGGCCCTCCTGCAACTGGTCATGGCTGGGACAAGTGGGCTGGGACGGGCATGGAGCCATCCTTGTCCTCCCTCACCTTGCAGAACTGTACCTCTGGATACCTGTTAGTCTTTGGGGGGGTATGTGCTCATGCAGCTCCAGCTCTGCATGAGGAAGGACTCCTGAGCTATAAATCTCTGCCTTTCAAGCACTAAACTCCCTTTTGGGTTGTTTTTGACGTTAGGAATTTTCTCTGATAAGAGAACTTTATTTGCCTTTAAATATCACTTTGTGACAGGATGATGGAGTGGGGATTCTTGGAGCAAGCCAGTGCCAGCCGGGGAAGGGAAATTCTGCTGGGGCTTTTGTTTCTCTCTAGCACTGACATTTTAGCTCTTTAAAGAGTACGTTTATTTTATACTTGGCAGGAGTGTGTGTGCACATGTCAGTGTCCAGACAAATGGGAGAAGCCCAGTGTTGGATCTGTGCTGAAGCCAAGTGGGTCTCCTGCTCTCCCTTCCCTGTGTGGCATCTGGGGAAGAGGGAGCTGTGCTGGGGCTTTTCTGCAACCATGTTCAAAACACAGATTGTGTGGATGAAGCAGGGCTGCCAAGTGGAATGCCTTATGAAAAAGAAAAGAGGATTTAGTGATACTGTTTGCAAGGTGCAGTTGGATGTTTCCTGGCTGGCAGGTTAGTGTGTCACCTCTTACCTCAAGAACAGCCCAAAAGCCAAGTCCCCCAGAACAGTGTCATAGCTGGTTTATAGTGCTGCCTGCTTAGGTCAAGGCTAAGTCTAAGGTGTCACCCAGCACAACCTGAGTACAGCCCATAGCCACAAAGTCTGTGCTTTGTTTGCATGCAGTGGGAGCTGAGCTCCCTAATCTGGCTCCCTCCAGCAGCCGTGTTATATCACCATCCTTTTAGATACGGAGGATTTTGCTCCACAGGCTGCTTGTGAGCAGCAGGATCTGCAAAGTGCCAGCTCATTCATTCCACTTGGATCCCACTAAGCTTTCCCTGGTTCTGATGCCTCAAGCAGCCAACTGACTCTGTGTTCCTTTCTTTCAGCTCTTCCACGTGGCATATGTCCTGATCAAATTTGCCAATTCCCCTCGTCCTGACCTTTGGGTGCTGGAGCGATCAACTGATTTCGGCCTCACCTACGAGCCCTGGCAGTATTTTGCCTGTGAGTATTTCAGTGTTGCAAGAGAGCTGCAGCTCAGTGCCAGGTAGTGAGGCCGTGGTGAAGAGGGCTCTTCATGCAAATACAAGGCTGGGTTTGGAGCTGTTTCTGTGTCATTACTGTGATGCAGCACATGTCCTGGGTTTTTTCTGCCCAATAAGGCTGCAAGAGTTGAAGCTTAGATGCTCCTCAGGGCAAGAGAATGTTTTTACTCTCTAGGACTAAATGTCTTTTTTAAAGTATTGTCATTGATGCCCACCCAAATCTATGGGAATGCCAAAGTTGGCACCGGTGTCAATAGTTGGGCATTGCTGATCAAGGTCTGGAACTGAGATTTCTTGTCATCTCCTCCCTGCCCTCTTCTCTGTCTGCTCTGTACTATCCCAGACTGGTGTATTTCAGCTCTTCCAGATGCAAAACAGCAGCTCACTTCCAAGTGCCTGCTGTCACAGAAAAGTCTGGAAGCCAAAAACTGTCCCCTGTTCTTGGATACAACCTATGCAGGGCAGAGAACCTGGCACAGTGCAAGGTGGGATCAGAGACAGCTGGCTGGACAGGATGGCTGTGGAGATCCAGTCTGTGCATTTGGCTTCCCCATTCTCTGATTAAAACCTTAAGAAACAGCTGGTTCTACAAAACTCTTCTCCCAGAGGGTCTGTGGGGTAGCCAGATGCTGAGGAACTTGTTAACCACCAGCTCCTCCCAGAAGCAGCAGCAGTAATTGGGAGAAGATGTGAGTTAAGATCTACAGCCAGAGCTTAAAACCTGGCAAGGAAGGACCTGGGAGCATTCGGAGGCCTTGCCCTGGGCTGTCCCTGAAGGCTCATATTTCTGGCTTACCTGTCAGCCTGTGCTTTGGATTTTGAGCCCCTTATTGTGCAAGAAAGAGCTGCAGACATGTTACTGCTGTGTTGCCTTGGTGTGGTAGCTCCTCTCCAGTGCAGATGTTTTCTTCTCTGCTGTGTGCTAGTAGGGAATTAGTGCTGTCGAATTCCTGCTTTGCTTTTTTCTGTAGTCTCTGAGAATTTATGTTCCAGCTCTGAAACTTCTCTTGGGGCCCATTACAGTTGTGTTTTTGCAAGGTCTGGTGCTGCATGGAGAACTCTTGCCCCGCTGGCTTGTTCCTGTGTGTAGTGGCAAAGCTGCAACATCTGGAGTTCTCTTTCTTCCTGCAACATCAGGCCCTGTTGCCACCCCTCTGGAGAAGTGACATACAGTGACACAGCCCAGTGGAAAATTCCCATGGAAATAAAGAGGTGGCTGCTCCAAAACCTGCCAGATTTGCTAGCACAAGAAGTCCTTTTCAGAGGTTTATTTCTGGCATGGGGAATTCTGTAGGTGGTCTAATAAAAACACGTGTCAGGTCAGTAAGAGGGTTAAAAGCAGCTGGCAGAAATGCAAGTGTTCTCCAGAGATGCCAGCAAGCCTTGCCAGGGGTGGCACTGTCCACCCCAACTCAGCGCTGCCCCTCAAGCCACGCTCATCGTGGGAGGTGTTTGATTCCCCAGGCCCCCCAGCCAGGCTGCTGAGGTGCTTTTGGGCTTAGCTCTGTGGGAGTAGGGAAGAAGTGCCTGCTGTGGAAAGCATCTGCCCTTGCAGCTGATGGATCCTCTCAGGGAGGGGGGCTGGAGGGACTGTGGCAATGTGGGTCTGTTCATCATGGTGGGGAGGCACCGTGCTTTCCTCAGCCACCAAAAGAGAAGCAGGAGTGCTGGGGAGAGATTTATGGGGGTATTTATCCCCATGAAAGGCTCCCCACACGGCGTTTCAGATGGGGGCAGGATGTGAAAGATGCTCGGTCCCATCTGTCCGTGCAAACCCACACAGCCTCGTGGTGTTGTGCAGGATCAGGGTGCAGGATTAGCCCCTTTGGTCTGGCTTTGCTGGGCAGTGCCACTGCACAGAGCAAGGCTCCATCCTTTTCTGTCTTTCCTTAAAGCACTGCTGGGGTTTAAAGCTGATGGGTTACTCTGCTTTAGTTCAGAGTGCCCATTATCTGGCTCACACAGTTCTGTAGATTTGGAGTTCTTTGGCTTTCCTCATGCTGAGCATCCTGTCTCCATGCCCAGCCGTGGCAGCTCTCTGGAAATCAATCATCTTGAGCCAGTGGTGACAGGCTCCTCGCCTGGGGCTTTAAAAGTAAATTGCCTTTAAAAAAAGCACCTGGTAAAGGAAAGCTTGGTGGCCAGAGACCTTATGTTAAATGTTTCCACATCTTCCTTTGGATGCAATTGAGCTCTCACTGTTGCCAAAACAGTGTTTCATGGAGTGAGGCTGCATTGCTGGGACAAGGTGTGGGTGGGTGCAGGCCAGGGGTGAAGGTAGGGAGGCAGAAGCTCTCTGCTCCCCCTTTGCTGCTCCTCCTGCCTGGCTCAGCCTACCCGAGCAGCACATGGAATGAAGGACCTGCCTTCCTGAAGCATATTGCGACAGATTTTGGAGGATTATTCCCTTGAATTGGGTTAACGTTTCCCCATCAGCTTCCTGTGTGAGCTGAACACTGCTGGCAGGAACAGCAGGTTGTGTTGGCTGCCTTTTCTTCCTCCTTCTCCACATGGAAACACCCTCAGGAAAGCTGCAGCAATGTACGCTTCAGCACGCACTGCTGCGAGGTCCTGGCACAGGTGGAATGGGAGTGGGAAGACCAGCAACCTTTGTCCAGGCTCTTCCTGTGGGAACAGTCCTTGAGAATGGCACAATGTAGGTTTTTGCATGGGTAGATGTAGGTGCTCACCACCCTGCATGATCAGGTCCTGAGCTGTGCTGGCACGTTCACAGTGGTTTGGTTGGCCCTGCCAGCACAGGGATGTCAGACATCCTGGGGACAAGGGTGTTGGACTTGCAGGAGAACCTATACAGGGGCCAGGACATCCCTGAAGCTGCAAGGAGAGTCTTGGCATGCTGTGTCCCCAAATCAGGTCGCTGAGCCAGCACCATTTCTGTCCCCTGACTTTACCCAGCCTTGCATTGCCACTTAGTGGCAGGAGCCCTTGTTTGCTGTCCCCAGGGGGTGGTTCTTGGTGGCTTTGGCATTTCTGTTTTGTAGTGTTGGTTTAAGAGCAATTGCAGAGTTCATATTAAGGTGGGAGTAGGAGACATCCTGCAGGCAGTTGCTCTGCCTCTCCCAAATACTGCAGGTCCCCTCCCCACACCTGCATGTCCACCCTAAGTGGTGGGAGATGTCCATTGTGTGATTCTGTGCTGGCTTTGGGACTGACCCAAGAAGTTTAGGAGCCTCGTGAAATGATGGAACAGCTCCTTCATCAAGAGCAGAGCCCTGGCAGCAAAGGGCCCTTCCACAGTTCAGTGGAAGCAGTGCAGCAAATCCAGTGCCAGCCAGGCAACAGATCCAGACCAGGGTTAGATCTCAAGCTAGTTCAGCTGTGAGATTGATGCCAAAATAAAGGGGTGGGTTCCTCTGCAGGTGGTTGCAGTAGGTACAGTAGCCATTCTCACTTCCCTCATTTACTGCAGGGAGGTGATTTGGAGCATTTTCTACCTATTACTGTTACAGTGACTCCCTCACATGTGACAGAGTTAATGATACAAAGCAATCTGTATGTAGTAAATGCTTAACGAAGATCATACACCCATCTCTCCTGTGGTCAGCGTGGGAAAATCCATACAGGGCTTGGAATTGTTCCTTTTCTCTTAACTGCTGTCTTCCCTGGTTGATGAACAGCTTCCAAGAGGGACTGCATTGAGAAGTTTGGACAGCACACCGTGGATCGTATCACCAGGGATGACCATGCCATCTGCACTACTGAATACTCCCGGATCGTGCCTTTGGAAAATGGGGAGGTGAGCAGTTGCACATTTTCATCCCCTGGAGTTTCCAGGGTTTCTCAGTGGCTGTAGATACTCCTACTAATTGGTTCCCTCTTGATTTTTGGATGCCACTTAAACTACTCAGTTAAACCAAATGAGATTGGCAGGGAACTGATTCGGTCATGTGGATAACTGGGTTCACCTAAGGGAGAAACTAATTTACCCCCACTCCACAGGATTACACAGATTTTTCTCATAGAATCCCAGAATGGTTTGGGTTGGAAGGGACCTTAAAGACTTATTGTTCCAACCCCCTGCTGTGGGCAGATGCACCTTCCACTAGACCAGGTTGCTCAAGGCCCCATCCATGCCGGCCTTTTCCCTCCTTCCATTCACAGATTGTTGTCTCCCTGGTCAATGGGCGACCCGGAGCCATGAACTTCTCCTACTCTCCTCTCCTGCGGAATTTCACGAAAGCCACCAACATCAGACTGCGCTTCCTGCAGACAAACACTCTGCTCGGGCACCTGATGGGCAAAGCTTTGAGGGACCCTACGGTGACAAGGAGGGTAAGGCAGGCCTTGATGCCTCTTGCTAGTGAGATGGAACTATTTGAGGGCTGTGCATGCAACCTCTGGGGAGAAGACATCCCTGGATGTTGCCTTGGGGGGGATCATTTTATTGGGTAAAGTCCTGCTGAATCCTCAGTAGAACAGTTACAAATCTTATTTGTAAAGATACTAATGGCCAACTCTTCTTGTGCTCTGCAGTATTACTACAGCATCAAAGATATCAGCATCGGCGGGCGCTGTGTCTGCCACGGCCACGCAGACGTCTGTGATGCCAAGGACCCCAATGACCCTTACAGGTACCTTTTTCAAACTCCCACTTCTGTGTAAAAGCATTTGAATTATTGTGCTAAGAATGGAGATGCTGGTGTGAGTTGTGTCCTGTCCTGAACTCCTGATCGTGGCTCTGCCCTGAGAATGAATCAGAAACTGCTCCAGACAAAGTAGCAAAAATTAAATGTTTTGTCAGACTCTTTTTTCAGCCAGATCAACTCCCTGGTCTGGTTTCCCTGTCCACAACTTTGCCATCCCATGGGAGCAGAGTGCTGGAATGGAAAGGTGGGATACTAATGTTGAACACGGAGGTTTTCCATCCAAGTCTAGGACTGGTTTCTGAACTTGTTCAGAGAAGTCTCTTGCTTCCCACATGACTTCTTAAGGATTGGCACAATGCTCTCATAAATAGATGAGCATTGTCTCATCATAAATAGATAAGAATGAGAGTCCCCATGAAACCAGAGACCATTTCTAATCATAAGAACCATAAATTGGTTATGTATGTAGCTAAACAATTACTCTTTGCAAAAGAAAAAGAGCATGCAAAGCAGTTACATTTTGGCTTATGGGACTCTTCCCATCTGCCTTGGCAATTTGGAATGCCAAAGAGCTGCTTCCAGCCACGAAAGTGTTGCTTTTAGCCATCTGTTTGCAGCTTGAATGTTGCCTTTATAAAAGGGACGGGTAGATTCAGCTGGATGAGGGAAGCTTGTATTTCTTTCTCATCAGGATCATGTGGAGCTTTTGGATCTTCTAAAATAAAATTCCAGTGAGTCCCAGCCAAGGTTAAAGCTGTTAAGTATTAAAACAAAGATGTATTGGTAAGCAAGTCTGCCTTAGTGTGCCAAACTGTCTGACAAAAGGAAGTTCATAAATATTTGAATGTACAGTCCCTTGTTTTTCAGACGTTGGTGTTGCTGGATGCCAGTACACCTGTGTACCAGGGCAAAAGGCTTTATGGGGCCAAATCATTCTTTAACATGGAAATGCTATGACATTTCTTGAGTGAATCAATGGCTTGGGGCTCTCCAGGAAGGGAGCGAAAATTGAGCAAGGAGAGATGTGTTGGAAATTCTTGTTCAGTGCTACTTCTACTTGCAACTGTCTCTTGCTTCCCAGAATTCCCCTCCTTCCACACTCATTTGGATGCATTTGGCATCTTTGCTCTTGACCCCAAACTGTTCTCTGATGTTGTAGCACATATTGGTAAACAGCTGTTGCATTTCACCCAGAGCAGATTGCACTGGACTGGAGGAGAAAACATTTCCTACTTGGGTGCTTTGTATAGTCATCACATAACAGCTGTAAGTCCTTTGGGATACAGCAGGAAAAGGTGCTGGGTAAATAGAATTTCTCATGGCATTGCTGTACCCTGTTAGCAAGCCCAGGAGCACAGAGGAGTCAGCAGAAATATGATACTTTCAGTTGAGAAAATGAGTAATTGGTGAAATGCTGCCGTTCTCCAGGCTCCAGCAGCAGCTGTGTCTAACCTTCCTGCTGAAGTGGGCACTGCTGGGAAGGCATCCCAGTCCTCCTACCCTGACACAGGATAGAGCCAGCTCATTGATACCTGCTGTAATGCTACATGCCAGCTGGGGCTCAGACACACTGTCCCCTCCAGTCGTGGGCCCCAGCTGACAGAAACATGTCATGTCTTCAGAAATCTGTGCAGCATGTCCTTCTGCACATGTCCTGCCTCTTCAGATGCTGATGGGTGACAGCAGCAGGGCAAGGAAATGCAAACAGAGGAATGTTGGTTGGCCTGGCCCTGTTAGAAGTCCCAATTGTTGTCTCTGCTTCTCATTGTAACTTCCCTCTAATGCACACCCTGTGTGTCTTGTGCCTGTTGCCCAGCAAGGCAGGATGAGCACTTTGATAGAGGTGAGGTGAAACCTTGGCAAAGACTCTGGGACATGATGAAGCATGTCTGTGAGCTGACTTCCTGGCCATAAATGATAATGTTTATCCAGCTTTGGAAAGTTTCTGTGAAGTGCCAAGCTAAGGAGGCTGCACATCCAGCTGTGTTAAGCTGGCAGCACGTCTGGGCCCTGTGTGAGTGTGGATGAGCAGGGACCTGCAGTGTGTGGGCAGGTACAGCCTCCTCCAGGCTCTTTGCACTTTTCACTACTGTCTGTCTTTGCCCCAAGATGGAATGGGCTGAATTAAACAGAGGGAAGGAATGTTCTCCTGGTTAAAGATGAACACCAGCAGGATCAGGCACAGCCCTTTCTCCTGGCAAACCCTGGGAGCAGTGAGATAAGCATCAGCAGGAACCTGGCACGGAGAGCCCAGGCAGGAATCCTGTGTTGACATGCAACTGCTCAGGTGTGTTAACATGACGTGAGCTCAGGAGAACTCTGCAAGGGCTCTACATCCATCTGATAAGAGCAACTGTTTCTGTGGGTACACCCATCACAGATGCCACAAGCTAGAGAGGAGACAACTGGAGAGTCCAGCTCTGCCTCTGTGCCTGATGCTGAAGATAACCAACAAGACAACAGCAGCCTGGCTGGTCAGATACACGTCTGCAGATGAAGGATGCTTTCCCACTGCTGGATCCTGAACTCTAACTTCCTCTTTCCCATTTTGGAAGGAAGAGCACCATGTGTGCTGGTAGATTTGTGCCATCTGTCAGTCTCTTTTTGCAGGTGGTTTTTCCTCAGTACAGTCAGAAGCAGAGGAAGGGGCTTTTTTTTTTTTTTCTCTTGATTGTGCGATTCAGATGTCCCAGCCAAATCCAGATGCTGTAATGCTTGTGTGCTGCTCTCACCTCTGCCACAGCTGCTCACTGCAAACTGTTTAGTCTCTCTTACTGAGCATCAATTCCAGTGGGAAGGCTGTGGTTTCATCTCTTATGTCAGGACAAGCAGGAAATATGTGCTATGTGAACACAGCCGCTCCCTCTTCTTCCTTGTATATATTCAATCAATGAAACATGTAAATATTGTAGTTTATGCACATTTGTCCATAATTCATTAGCAGCATGGATTCAGCACAAGGTGTAGTAAAGCCACGATAGATGAACTCTCCAAGAGGTCGTTCCCAACTCTGGACAGCACAGACTAAATAAATAACTCCTTCTCCATCTGAAATGTGCATCTTTACTCGTGGAGTGCCATCTCTTTGCATTCTGGGAATGGAACCAGTGCTTTTCAAACATCTTGAACATTAAGGAGCCAGGGTTTGTGGCTGGGGCCACGTCCTCCAGTCAGGGAGATTAACGCTGCTCAGCAGGTTTATAAGTTCCCTGACTCAGTGACCATTTTTCTCCACACATATGTATATGGATGTTAATTTTGATCTCCAGCTGCTGCCATGGAAAGAAACTCTTAAAATTTTGGTTTTTTGGAAGTGCTGAGTGGTAATCAGCCAGGTGAGAGGTCTGTGGGTGGTTTTCTTACAGAGACATGGCCCAAGTTTGCCTTTCATTGCATCTCCCCCCTGGGGTCTGCAAAACACTGGGAGAACAAAGTTCATACTGAATATTTCAGGGCACTTTTCTGCCCCTTAGGCTTCAGCCAGGACTCTGCCAGCCACAGCCCAGCCTGGGAATTTGGGCAGAGACAGTACTCAAAGGCCTGACTGCGGCCAAGCATCCCGTGGCATCTTCAAGGGGAGGACCAGCAGCAGGGCTGGGAGCAGCACTGGGACCTCCTGCCTCTCAACCCCTCTGGCTGAAGCAAACATGCTGAATGTGGATCCTGCTTGCATTCCCGCAAAATTTCAGCTCATCCCGTGTTTGATTACAGTGAGATCGTGCTGCTGCCTCTGTCTGGCAATACATACACTTGCAGGTCCCACATCTTAAAATTACATGTAGGTGGAAACCCTGGCACTCAGCTCACTGCAGCCACGGATGAGTGTGTCTGCACTCCTGCACTTCACCCTGAATGACTGCTCCTTTTGTCTCTGATGTTTTAAAAAAATTACATTTATTTTTAAACACTGCTTTTGAATGGAAAAGCATTGGAGGGAGGGAGAGATGGGAGTGGCAGACGGGCCCTGAGGGGAAATGAGTAATTGCACAGATAAAAGCTGGAACATGTTGTATTATCCATAAGTCTAATACAACAGAACGCGTTTGTGTTGGATGGGAATCGCCTTCTGCTAAGTGGAGGTTTTGGAGATGATGTCACTGCTGTTAATGAATCACCGTTGCGGTCGAGCAGGGACGAGATCCGTCGGTTGACTGTCGAGATTTCTTGCCTGGCGCCTCCGGAGCCGCCTGTTTACCCAGCACGGCCCTGCCTGGAAAGCAGGAGGTGCATTTCACAGGGAGCATGGGGCCAGCATCTGCTAAAAGACTTAATTCAAATTTCGTGGCTCCTCTGTGCAGCACAGGTACACCTGGGGGAGCAGATAGCACCTGTGTGGCCTCGCTCCTCTTCAGCTCTGAGCTGTCATTTATTCCTTTCACAGTGGTGGGGACATCCTTGTGTCCCTGCACCACACTACCCTACACAAGTAATCTGCTTCAGCTCAGGCTTCTACCACTGCCACCTGCAACCATTTCACATTTTATTGTCTACAGAGCTGGCTCAGCAGTGTCACGCTGATTTTTCTCTAATCCTTGTCTCCCTGTGAAAAAGAGAGGAGTGATGGTGGAGGAGAAGGAAGGGAGAGAATGGTGCTGGAAGAGCCAAGTTTGGTGTTCAGCTCAGAAAAAAATAAATCAGCAATTAAAAAGTTGAAAAAAATGCCTTAGAAGCCTCTTTTCCAGAATGTTTGGATTTGCAATTATCAGTCGTTCATGTATCTGACTAGTGGCAGCTCTGCACAGCGGGGTCACGTGGCAGGTCCCCATTCCACACATCCCTGTCATCACCCCAACCTTGTGTGTGCCCTGTTCCCCTCCCTGCAGGCTGCAGTGTGACTGCCAGCACAACACCTGCGGCGGGTCCTGCGATCGCTGCTGCCCCGGCTACAACCAGTTCCCGTGGAAACCTGCCACTGCCGACAGCGCAAACGAGTGCCAGCGTGAGTTGGAGCTGGGATTTTCCCTTCCTTTTCCAGCTGCTTTGCAAAGCACACCAGCCCTGGATGCTGCGGTGCAGAGAAGCCGTTCGCTGGACCGGTGGGGTTGGTGGTGTGCGGGACTGGGTGACGGGGAGGTCGCTGGCATGGTGGTTGGTGGTGCTCAGTTGAGGCTCACACAGGGAGGTCCTCCAGGTCTGTGTGGGATTTGGACTCTGCTTATGTTCCAGTTCCTCCTGCGTGTCCAAGGGTTCGTGCAGGCAAGTCTCGTTGCTCAATTCTGTCTCCAAGATGAATTACGTTTGGACGTGTTTACATACAGGACATCTTAATTTGTCCAGAGAAGCCTTTGGTCAGTGCCGACAGTGGAATTCCTGCTGTACTAGGAATGCAGAGCACGGAGCACAGCTACACCACACGGTGTCTTATACGTGTAGGGTGGCAAAGGATCTTAATCCTGTGCGTTTATAAAGCCCCCTCACTGGGTGCTGAATTTTACAGCTCACCTCCATCCAGGGTGGGATACAAGAGGCAAGAATGTTGTTTTCTAAACCAGACTCTCTGAGGCCCCAGAGCTGGGTAATTTCTCTTGCTCGTCCATACACGCCCGCACATATTTTACTTGTGATTTTGTGCCCACTGCGCTCTCCTGGTTGCCGACCAGACTTTGTGAGAGAGTTGCTGCTTCTGTGCTTTCGAACTGAAAGAATTCTGGGAGCTTGGGAGATCACGTAACCCCTCCCGATGCATTCAGGCATCATTTCTCATTGCAAAGTAACCCATTGAACATCAGACCCACAAAGGAGCTTTCACATCTTGAGATGCAGCTGGAGATTGAAGGATCTGCATGGGCTGGTGGCTTAGCTAATGTCTCCTTGTATTTCAGCTTGCAATTGCAATGGCCATGCCTATGACTGCTACTACGACCCAGAGGTGGATCGCCACAAAGCCAGCAGGAGTCGTGAAGACAAGTTTGAAGGGGGAGGTGTTTGTATTGACTGTCAGGTAGGGCTGAAGAGCTCCAGTAGAAAAGGCTTTTTCAAATTTTTGTGTTTGTTTCAGCTGTCAACCTGGAGTTCAGCCTTGCTGGCACCTCCAGCAAGCCCCTCACACACCCTCTGTTATCTACATTAGGTCTTTCCCTGGAAGTATAGTCTATTTGCCATGGATTAAAGGAGTGTGCATCAGTAATTAAAATAGCACTTGGGTTTCTAGCCGTCCCCTGGGTAGCGCCACTACCTTCCTGATGCTTTAGGGTTTGGTCTGCTGAGGCACTGGAATTGGGAGGGACAGGTTGCTGCTCAACACTTTTGGAGGTCCCTGCCTAGTTCACAGCACTCAGGTGCTGCCATCTCCCTGGATCTCTCTCTGCCCACCAGAGTGCCAGTCTTCTCAATCTCTGGAGTTCCCAGTGAAAGTGGTAAAGTAGCTCTTCCCTACCCAAGGTGACTGTGCCCTGGTTAATTCACGTAGTGGTATGAAACTTTTCACTGTGCTTTCCTGCTAGGAGGAAACAGGTTGCTCCCATCCTGCAAGCACAAAGTGGTCAGGACATTTTACCATCTGAGGGAAGTGAAATGGGCTTGAGGTCAGATATGAACCTGAAACTCACCCTGTGTTTATGGGAGGATACAGTTTGGAGGAAATGCTTTGTTTTCAAATCGGTGCATGCAGCATTTTGAGCAGATTTATGTCTTCTGCATGCTGACACTCCTGAGCTGCTTCCTCTGTAACCTGGGGCTGTTAGTATATCTGGCAGATGAACATTGAGTCCTGCAGGCACAGGAACTGATGCCCCTCTAACCCACTGTCTTTCAGCATCACACCACCGGCATCAATTGCGAGAGATGCATCCCGGGATACTATCGGTCCCCTGACCACCCCATCGACTCTCCATACATTTGCTATCGTGAGTGTGAACTCCTCTGTAGGTCATAGATGCCCTCCTGGACTTGGTGGCACTGGGGAGGGTGGTCTGGAGGATTGGGCTGGGAGGTTTTTCTGGTGTAGGGGGTCTGGGGTCTCGGGCAGTGACACCGCTGCCAGCTTGTCCCTCTTTGCAGGCTGTAACTGTGAGTCTGACTTCACTGATGGCACCTGTGAGGACCTCACTGGCCGCTGCTACTGCAAACCCAACTACACTGGGGAGCTCTGTGATGCCTGTGCTGAGGGATACCTCAACTTTCCCCACTGTTACCGTAAGTTGGGGTGATCAGATCTGGGATCCCGCAGACCCAGGGGGTGCGGGAAGAGCCAAGAGCTCCAGCTGTGGCTGCTCTTCATGTGCCTTTTCCCCATGCCACCTGGCACTCTTGTCCCAGGAAGAGTTTTTGCAGATAGGAACAAGCCCACATTTGGCTTGGGTGGAAGCTGGACCAGAGCTGAATGGTCTGAACTCAGCTCTGTGGAGTCAGTGGGAGCTTTCCATTTTGCTGGAGTTTCATCTCTCACTTCTGTGAAAGACAGTTTAACAAGGGCTGTAATGGATTGTTGTTTAGTGGGATATCTGTGCTTTGTTCCATGTTCCACATTTTCATTCAGCCTGTTCAGCTTTAGGATTGTCAGGCCCTTGATATTCTGACAGGATTTCTTTGAGGGTGTGTGATGACCTGTGCAATGTCTCTTTCTCTGTGTAGCTGTTCCAGCTTTCACTCACAACGATACTGGAGAACAAGTGCTTCCTGCAGGACAGATAATAAGTAAGCAGTGCAGTTTTCCTTGATGTTTTACTAATCACCATGATATCATTTTTGTTGCATCTCTCCATCCAATGCAAGATCAGGTCTTCAGCTTTCTGGGCACATACATTGTATGAGACAGGGAGTGGTCTGAGAGAGGAGGCAGCTGAGGGTGGGGGAAAGGAAGTTTTATGATCCCTGTTTTTATAGACATGAAAACTTTAGCTTTGAATGCCTGTGTAATTACTTTTTTCTGGGGTCCAGGCCACATGGGGATGCCCTTTCTGGCCTCCCTGTGAGAACCCCCTGAAATACCATGGAGGGGCTGTGGCTGAGCTGGGAGCTCTGCTGTGGGTGCCTCTGAAGTGTGCACTGGCAGCTGCTCCCTCTGTGTCACTTTCTGTGTTGTTTAGAAAGTTCACCCATGCCCTTATCCCTGCTCCCCTCCACCTCCCTCCTCTCTCATGCTCACTCCTCTCAGTTCATCTACTCCCTTGTGCTTTTTCTTGTCTCTTTTCCCACCGAATCCTCCTCTGTCTCATGCTCCCCAGAACGCTCCAGATAACCTTTTCCTTCCTTCTGATATTTTAAACTCTGTATCTTCCAGACAGGTTTTTTTCTTTCCTGAGCTGGAATTTCTCACTTCCCTTCTCATTTCCTCACCTTCCTCTCCCTCTAGTTCTCAGATGATATTTGCTCTTCTCTCCCAGCCCAGCACCCCACACCACTGCTGTCAGTGATGGCAAGGCTGGCTCAGAGCCTCAGCACTGCTCACCCAGAGCACCTGCCTGCCCTGGCAGTGGGGAGGTCTCACATGCAGCTGAGCATGGAGTGACCAGAGAGAAAGCTCAAAGCTCACCCTGGTTAGCTGAAGGCTCTGGTTATTCCCGCACTTAGGTAGTGCTGCACTGAATCAGCTCTGCCTGGGCTCATGGAAGCAGCATTTGCCTGCCCTGTGCATTTCCCTGCTGCCCACCCAGCACCTTCACACCTGTGTGGTGCTGAGCTCTCCCAGCTATCCCACGAGCCAGGGGTGCCGGTTGCCTGGGCAGGGTTTGGTTAAAACATCTGCATCTAATAGGAAGGTTATCAGGAGGGGCAAATGCTTGAGCTGTTGCCTCTCATGGCACCTTCTGCCCTGTCCTTGTGGGACCTCAGAGCTCGACTGACAGCCGTGTGTGGTGTTGCCTGTTGTGTGTCCCCTCTCCAGACTGCGATTGCTACGCTGGTGGGACAGAAGGCAACGCCTGTCGCAAGGACCCTCGTGTGGGGATGTGTGTGTGCAAGCCCAACTTCCAGGGAACACAGTGTGACCAGTGTGCCCCAGGCCACTATGGACCCAGCTGCCAGCGTGAGTAACTGGGGGTCAGTGGCCCCAAGCTCGCCCTGCTCACCCCCCTGCTGGGCAGGAATGTGCCTCTCCTTGCTGGGGAGGAGGAATTCTCCAGCCCTACTTCCAAGTGACAAATTCCCATGACTTTTGCTGTTGCTTTCCACCCATCCCTGATGCTCCCAGGCTGAGGGGAGCCCTTGAGAAATTCCCTATGGATGTGAGCTATGGGCCGGGCATGCTTGCTGTCAGCTCTGTCCACCAGGGTTTCTCCAGCGACTGCTCCTCTACCCCTGAGGAACAAGTGCTCTTGGTTCCTTCCCTAGGAAGGGGAAAGATGAAGAACCTGCTTATTTATTAGTGCTCTTGTTGCTTTCCAGCCTGCCAGTGCTCTGGCCCTGGTCAGTATGATGGCACCTGTGACAGCGAGACCGGGCAGTGTCTGTGCCGAACAGGATTTGAAGGGCACTTGTGTGACCAGTGTGCTCCAGGCTACTTCAACTACCCTCTGTGCCAGTGTGAGTATCCGTCCTCCCGTGGGCCTGGGTGGCTACACACAGCCAGAGTCCTCTGGCAGAGGGTTGAAGGACTGGAAAGTGGGGTTTTGGGCGTTTTGAAGAGTATGTGCAATGGACAGAGACTGACGGGTTGAATTCTTAGAGCAGCACCTAAATACCCACCTGAGAAGCTTTCAGAGGAAAAGACACTTGCCATGAGCTTTGCTGTGTGCTCTCAGCACAGGGCAGATGGTTTCTCTGTGTTGCAGTGTGTGGTTGCAGTGCTGTTGGGACGCTGCCGGGAGGCTGTGACTCCGTCGGGAATTGTTTCTGCAGACCCGAGTTTGCTGGGCCACGGTGTGAGCAGTGCAGTCCTGGGTACCACTCCTACCCCCACTGCTATGGTAAGGGCCTTAACCTCTGTTTCCTGCTGGTCTGTCACTTTCTAAAAAACATACCTGTTTTTGTAAGGCTTTGGTGTTTCTCGACATCAAACCCATGTGGTTTGCACTGTGAATTTGGCAGGCTTGCTTTGGAGGTCATGGATCACATCAAAGCCTGGAAGACAAAGCACTTTTTATCAGTCACACTTCCACATCACAACCCTGCTGTGATCTGGTGTCTCAGCTTATGCCTTTTTTGCATGTCACTTTAGTGCATTAACCTACTAAACTGCTGGGGAACATTGAATGGGCTGTAAAAAACCCTCAGTGGCATTTTCCTGGTATGGCCATGACTCCAGCTGAAAATACCACCTGACATGCCAGGGAATTAACAAATTATTTTAGTTCTGATAGAAATGGTTAATTCCTGGGGGGGCTGAACGACAGACCAGCAGTGGTTGGCCACAGATTGCAGGGTTCATCAGGCTGTTGACAGTCCTGCTCTTACAGCTTGCTCCTGCGATTCCCGGGGTGCTGTGGACAACAACTGCAGCCCAGCTGGCCAGTGCCGATGCCACATGAATTTTGCAGGACACACCTGCAACCAGTGTGCCCTGGGCTTCTACGGGTACCCCAGCTGCACTCGTGAGTATCCACCTTATTGCTCTGCAACTGCCTGAAGGGAGGGTGTAGCCAGATGGGGATTGGTCTTTTCTCCCAAGTAACAGGTGATGAGGCAAGAGGAAATGGCCTCAAGTTGCACCAGGAGAGGTTTAGATTGGATATTAGGCAAAACTTCTTTATCAATAGGGTTGTCAAGCACTGGACCAGGCTGCCCAGGGGTGGTGGAGTCACCATCCCAGGAGAGATTTAAAAGACATGTAGATATGGCACTTGGGGACATGGTTTGGTGGCAGGCTGGGCCATGCATAACTGTTGGACTTGATGATCTTAGAGGTCTTTTCCAACCTAAACAATTCTGTGATTCTGTCCTTTTCCCTGGGCACTGCAATGCTCCTGGACCAGAGCTGCAGTTGCCAGGGCTGAGCAATGCCTGTGGCAGATGCCTGTGGCCCAAAATACTCTGACCAGTCCCCCCCAGCTCTGGGCAGAGCGTCCTCATCTCCCTCCCTGTCGGCAGCCCAACTGGAAGCCAGATGTACTCTTATGTCTCCCAGCAAGAATTTACTGCTCATTAAAAAGTAATCCGTGATACAGTTTCCCTGAGGGAACAAAAGAGCATCATCACCCTCTTGCACTGTACTAAATGTAGACTCCTGAGCTGTGCCAGCTGGCAGAGCACTCCTCCCAAATGCTGATGCCGGCAATATGCCTTTGAAGAGGCTGGAGGCATAGATGAAATGGTCTCACAGGGGTTCAGCAGTCACCTTTTTTTTTTTTTGTCTCATGAAGCAGTGTCCACATTACAGAGCTGTAGAGGAGCCACAGTGAGGAAAGAAAAGAACCACCTGATTTTTATGGGTTTTTTAGTCCGTTGTTTTATGAGCAATGCTTTGCTATCAACCAGTCTGGGGATGTCAGCCTAAAATGTCTCCTTTGGCAGGGATTTGAGGAGTACTGGCTGGGCAGGGAAGGCATGGGCAGCTCCCCAGCAGCTTGCTGACCTTTCCTGCAATAGGGCAGTAGGATCTCTGCATGTGTTCCTGGGAGGCAGGTCGTGCAGGAAGCCACAGAGCCATTGCCCTGCCCTTGCCCTCAACTGCCCAGGCTGTGCTGCTGGCCTGGTGCTGCAGCCCCACTGCCCACATACATCTACAGGGCAGACCCTGAGGGCCAAGTGCTACTCTTGGGTGTTTGGGCTTTTGTAGAGCCTGATGTGTCACTGGCGACTAACTTTTGGGGGATGAGATCATACTTTTCCCTTCTCCTCAACCAAAACTTTTCCCTGCCTCCAAAACACACATAAATGTATATGAAGGGGTGTGATAAACGTTGCAGTTTGTACTGTTTTTCTTAAAAGATGGGGTGGTTTTAACCAAAAGCGAAGAATGAGCGTGTGTGTTATTTATAACCCATATTTCTGGCTGCTTTGATGGCGGAGAAGGTCAGGCAGACAAAAAGAGGCTGCTGCTGGGAAGCCTTGAATGCAGGAGTCCCTGTGCCCTGCAGGTCCAGCAGTTGCTCTCCCTTCTTTTGCAGCTTGCCAGTGCTCCCCGGAGGGCTCCCTGCACAGCACCTGTGACCAGGACACGGGGCAGTGCAGCTGCCGGCCCAAAGTGACGGGGCTGCGCTGCGACAGCTGCGTGCCAGGAGCCTATGGATTCCCCCACTGCGAAGGTAGTCCCTTCTCCCTCATGTCTTGGGACACTCCAGTGTCCTGGGACATAGCGGTGTGGTGCTGGTAAATGGGTTTATCGTTCCCCAAACAGCCTGGGGGTGTGAGCTAGTTCCATAAATCCCTCCTTGTGCCTCTGTTTTCCAGTGGGCTCCTGTAACCCAGCAGGGTTGGAGATTGCAGATCCCTCGCTGGCCCCGGTGAGTATCAAATGAACCCACCCACCCCTGCAGGTCATTTTTGCATGATCCCCTTTATCTCATTTTGGACCAGGTTCTACCTTAAGCTCAACCTAAAAGCCGCCATTACCCACACCAGAGCAGAAGATCCCACATTCAACCACTGTGCTGCAAATTCTAACCTGCTCTTCTCACCCTCTCCCTTTCCCCAGGGCTCCTGTGCGTGTCGGGCATATGTTGAAGGCCCAGCTTGTGACAGATGCAAGCCTGGATACTGGAACCTGACTCCAGAGAATCCCTACGGCTGCCTGAGTAAGGAAATGGCATTTGCACAGCCCCAAGAAGTCCCCTTCATGCTGTAAAGGTGCAGAACCCAAACTGGGGGGGGGGGTGTCATCATTGCTGGATGGAAGTGATGCCCTTCCTTCTGTCTTCTCCCAGAAGTGACATGTCAAAGCTGGAGTGGTCTGGGTAACCCCCACATAGAGAGGGGAAAGGCTGGAGCCTGGAGCTTTTTGCTTGGACGAAACATAAGGCTCGTACCATGAGTTGTACCATTCTCAGCCCTCCCTACAGACTTTGCATGCTTAATTTTTCATGGCCAAATATGCAGGAAAAGCAAATGTCTTTAGTCACTGTGTCCTCAGCAGTAACTGTCCACAATGAAATGTAGCCCTTTTCGGTGTCCTCTGGTGTGATGGGTGCTGAACCCATCAGGCTTCTTCTCAGGGACTGATTGACCTTCTGGCTTTCTTGTTCATCTCCCTCTCTCCAGACTGCAAGTGTGACACCAAGGGCACCATCAGCAGAATCGCAGAGTGCCGGCAGGTGGGTTTGCTCCTCTGCTTCCAGGCTCCTCTGAGTGTGCTGTGTTGGGAGCGTTCAGCTCTGTCTCTCCCTGCAGCTGCTGGAAAGGCCTGACGCTGAGCTCTCAAAGCTTGCACCACAGTCTGGGCTTGCATGAGAACGTGGGATTAAGACCTGTCATAAATTAGGCACCTAAGTATTTCTGGGTCTGTCCCAGGATGCCTGGATTTTTGTTTGCCTGCATTGTTGGGTAATTTAAGTTATCTGGCCCTTATCTGGCCCACCCACGCGCAGGAAGCCATGTAGAGCATGAAACTCAAAAATGCTTCTGCAGTGTCTCAGACCAGAACCCAAATAACTGAGAAACAGCTTAGCCATGACAAGGAACAGGAGGGAATGAGTTTCCATGCCTGCTTTTCCCTCCTAGGGCGACGGGCAGTGCTTCTGCAAACCCAACGTGTGCGGGCAGTTCTGCTCGGCATGCAGGGACGGCTACTTCAATGTGGAGAATGCAAATTACTTTGGGTGCCAAGGTGAGTCCCCTTCGTGATGGGTTTGAGTAAATAGGGGGGGCTGCAAGAACTGACCCTGGAGCGCACAGCTCTGGATAGACAACTGATTGTTGACCGTAGAGAGAAGAGGCAAGAGATGTTCCACCTCCTGTTTTGGGTCATTGTTTTTGGGTGATACAGTTTAGTGCTTTAGGGGTTACAGTGGTAGCACTGGGTTGATGGTTGGACTTAATGATCTTAAAGACCTCTTCCAACCTTGGTGATTCTATGATTCTATACCATGGCCCAGAGCAGGGGCTGGATCTTCTGTGGATCTGGAGACCTGAGTTCACACTTTTACCACTATTGGACACAACTCTGTCAGGCTAGGGAGCAAACAGCCAGGAAGGGTGTTCCTCAGAGTGCCACAAACTGGTGTGTGTGAACCACTGGCTGTGTCCTTGCATCCATGTGCCATCCTCCTGCTGAGAGTGGGTGGCATGGACATGTGGGGTTGGCTGCTTTCCATCATGCCCATGGGAAGAGGTAAAGGAGGAGATCCGGACGCTCTCAGCCAGCCCACACAGTCCTGGCAGGGCTGGGAAGAGGGAGCAAGGCTACTGCTGGCGGCACCCAGCCATGAGGGTTTGCAGACCTTGTTCCTCCCGCGGCCGCCTGGAAATAGCTCAGCACTGAGGTGGAAGAAGAGACGATCCAAGTGGGGCCGGGGCCAAATATGAAAACGGATACAATGGAGTAAAAATAGCGGCCCAAGGCTCCCTGCCTGCTGGGACGTGCCTTTGATTAGTGACCAGGAGCTTGTTAGCGTGGAGGGAATATAAACAGGCTCTTCCTGCCCGCAGGCTGCCGGTGCGACGTCGGCGGGTCCCTGGGGCCGTCCTGCGAGGAGCGGAGCGGAGCCTGTCGCTGCCGGCAGAGCACGCGCGGTCCCACCTGCACCCAGTAAGCTGCCAGCAGGAGATGCACCTTGGAGTGCTCTGCCTCCCACTCATTGCCTCAGGAATGGTGTTGTCTGCCACCACAGGGATGAGGACCTTGTTGTCTGGGCAGCTGCCACACCAGCCACGTGCCTGGCAGAGGTGTCCTCTTGCCTCTCCCTGCAGGTAGCCCAGTAGGTAGCAGTGCTCTCTCTCTTCCCCAGACCTGCGCGGGACCATTATTTCCCTGACCTTCACCACTTGAAATTCGAGCTGGAAGAAGGCACCACACCGTCTGGCCGTGCCGTGCGCTTTGGCTACAACCCCCTGGAGTTTGAGGGCTTCAGCTGGCGAGGATATGCACAGATGTCCTCCATCCAGGTATGCCTGTGCCTGCATCCCAACCCAGCTCCCTCTGGGGAGGATGTGGCCGGTGGAGGACTGATGTGCTTTTGGCACACATCTTTCACCCCAAGTGCTTCTCAACCCCCCAAAGTGACATGATGGCCAACATAAACAGCACAGTGTATATATAGCCTGTTTGTGCAGATACTTCCTGTAGCACTGGGGATGGCATAGACTGATGAGGGGAAAGATCCTAAATTGGAAATCCCGTGACATCCTAATCCATTTAGACAAAGGTAGCTTGGTGATTACTTACAGGGATGTCTGTAAATGCTGTCTCTCAGTTTCCTTGTTGTTCTTTCATCTGACTGCTCTTTCCTACAACTCAGCATAACCTTTCCTCCCTTTTCCAAAAATAAGTAATCTCCTCCTTAGCTTCCATGTTCAGCTTGGACCTCTTGTTACCCTTCAGCCTCTGCCCCTTGCTGTTAGCTGGTTTGCTGTAGTGATGGTTTATGCTAATCTGGAGTTGTGTAAGCCCTAGAAGTGAAGCTGTTTCATCTATCAACCCTTCTTCCTCCACGGTGGATTCTTCTGCATGGCCCTTGCAGAATTGTGTGTGTTGGGAGCTGGGATGCAGGGCAGTGATTCTCTTGACAGTCTTGTCCCGTGTAAGGTGGTCCTTACTCTCATGCATGTACTTTCAGTTTCTTCACTTTTTCATGCTTAGGTGAAGTAACAGAGGGGCCATCTCCCATTGAATCTGTAGGTAGGAGCTAAGCAATGAACTCCTGTAGGCTTCCTCGAGAAAATCCTAGCGTTAAAGCTTAAGGATGGAGCTCATGCTCAAGCTTGTGGCTTTAGTGTTGCATCCAGTTTTGGCATTTGAGATAGAAATAGACCTCAATAAAAGGGCTGGCATGTGGCTTCCTGCTGGCAGGTTTCACCTGTAGTTTGTTCTCCTCAAGATCATACCAGTTTGCTCTCCAAGTGGGAAGATGGAGTGTAACTGGAGAATGCACAGCCCTCATTAGAAGTCTCCCTGGGCAGACCCCAGTTTTACTCTGCAGGCAGGAGGTTATTTAAGCTTAGATCTCTTTGAAATAGGTCAAACTTAAGTATCTCCTTAACTGGGGTCTTGCCAGACAGTGTCCAGGCGGGCAATGGGCTGGTGCACCATCAGTGGCACAGTCCATTAGCCCTTGGGATGGTGCCTCCCAGGGACGAGGCACCAGCTCAATTCCCAACCTCTTCTGTAGGTAGCTGAGCAGTGCCCCATAAACACAAGTGCAGGTGCTTCAGCATTTGGTACCCTGCTGACTGGTTATGGCACATGAAGCCCAGATGCAACGTGCCAATAACAAAAGCAAGAGCTTCTTAAAACCTTTCCCTTGGCATGGTGTGTGCCCCAGGATAGCCCAAGCCCCCTGCTGTGCCACAGCACCTTCCAGATGTGGTCAGAGCCTTTCCACCCCCTCCCACAGGCAGGTTGCTCCCTCAGTGGCTGGTCCCAAACAGAGGACAGTGCCACGATGTGCCGTGACTGCAGTAGGGTCCGTGTGCTTGTGTCCTCCTCGCACTGTGGCATGTTGCTTTGGGAGCAGTGAGCCGAGCGGCTGCGCTTGGGCTGGCAGTGCGGGCGGTGGAGGTAATTGAAGGTGTGCTCTGCTTCTCTCCCCTTTCTCTCTCCCACCAGCCCAAGGTAGTGGTGACTCTCAATGTGACCTCCCCCGACCTCTTCCGCCTCGTCTTCCGCTACGTCAGCCGGGGGCCCGCCAGTGTGGAAGGGAGGGTCTCGGTCGTTGAGGAAGGAAAGTTTAATGTTTGTGGCAACTGTAAGTGCATTTTTCACTTCTAGACTAACTCAGAGCATCCCACGCTGCGACACTGCTCCTCTGCCCCTTCTCCTGCCCCAGGTGTGCCCGTCCCAGGTGTGCCCATCCCAAGTGTGCCCGTCCCAGGTGGCCGGCCAGAGCCGTGCCATGGGATGGCGAGGGAGGGGGAAGAGAGGCAGGCAGGTAGACAGGTAGGCAGGTGGGTCAGGCCCTCCCACAGAGCGGGTGGGCTGTCAGGAGCTGGCCCCCAGTGACGTGTGCCCCATGTGCTCTTTTGCTTTTTGCAGAATAAAATCAGAGTCACTGTAGACGTGAAGGAGGCAGAGCTCTATCTGTTCCATGTCATCCTGAGGTATATTAATTCAGGAGGGGCCACTGTGTATGGCAAAATTACAGCTTATCAGCCACGAAGGAGAGGTAAGGATCCCAGACTGCTCTGCTCCCCTGTGCCATCGCCACCTCCTCCCCATCCCAGGCAACCTCCTGCATCATCCTTTCCAGAAGACGCTTCCATATGGCTTTACCCATTAGTCCTGCCCTTCCAATTGAAAGGCTGATTTGAGTTTGCAGCCCCCTTTATCTAACAAAGCAGCAGCAGCAGCCCTGGGGCTGCACACTGAGGACTGAGATCAGCCATGCTCGTGGGAGATAAGACTATTGTACAATTCTATACAATCTTTCCAGCATGGGACAAGATCACCCCAATGCCCCAAGCAGAACTGAGCTGAGTTTCCACAAAACCAGAAAGAGCCAAGTGATGGGAAGTGGATCCAAACTTTGGCAGCTGGATGTGGTTTTATTTAGCAGATGCCCTGATGTGGCAATTGTGCCCTTACTGTGCACATCTCCCAAACTAGTCTGAAGGCTTCACACATGGTTTGGGGTTTGGAAGTGGAGTGGAATTGTGCATGTTATACAGGCATTGCACTCTGGTGCAGCGTCTTATCAAGTCGAGCCGAGAGCTGCTGGAGAAGAAGAGACATCAAAAGATGTATGAACAAGCCTAGAAGCCTGGATAACAAATATTCTGGGAAACAATATGAGCAAGACTGCATGGGGACAGACCTGAGGCTGTGCAGGTACCCTAATGGGTGGTTAGCTGGTTGATTTTACCCCCTCGAGTGCCAGAGCCACATCGTCCTGCTGAAGCTCTTCCTCCAGACCATATATGCACAGCACAAGGCTGTCAACAGCAAACACCCAGTTTATCAGTGTGTGATGTTCTCTCCTCTGCCTCAAATTGACGTAGAAGGTGATCTGCCTTTGATGTGATATGCAAAGTTTGAAATGCCAAGATACTATTTTTCTGCTTTTTATTTTTATGGCCAGTCATATTGTGCAGTAGAAAGGCAAGAGAAGCATGAGCCATGGTCATGCTTTAGGATCCCACCAAAGGTCAGGAAGTATTTAATCTGTCCTATCCAGCAGCAGAGCTCATTTGCCTTATAATGTGCTTCACGCCATGTGCAGAAGCAACACTTGATTTTTCTGGTGCTGAAGACAAACAGCCAGACTGGCTCACCAACCACAGGATCTGGGAGGGCAGCATCCCTGAGAGGCTCCAGAAATGCTCAGCCACCCTCTACCTGAGTGGAATAGGCTTCATGTGATCAAGGACAAGCAGCCTGGAAAGAAGTAAAGTCGGAAGACGTGGCTTGAAAAAAGGGAAGCCTTTTCCAAGCATAGGAATTGCAGCCAATACTGGTTTCTCCCACCCCACCTCCAGAAGCCACCTCAATTTGAGCTACATATCATCTCAAAGGGTTGTGAAACTTCAGCTTGTCAAGAAAGCTACCCCATTGCCTGTTCAGGGAAATCTCTTGATTCCTTGCATCCTCACCTCTCCTTTCCCATCTGGGGAAGCAAGGGCTCAGCCTCAGCTGATGCCAGGCATGTAACAGAGCTGGCACACATGGGGAGGGATTACCCATCCCAGCAGTAGCACAAGCCCTTGCTTTAGCTTCTGGTCCTCTGCTTTGTGCCTTGATGTCCACGTACCACACCAGGATAGTCAGTGTCACATTCTCCACTCTTCCTTCATCCCATCTGCTCACCGTGCAGCCATTCTCGGTGAATCCCTCTCGTCTGTGCTCTCCAGAATGCTCCTGAGACTGCTGGGCAGGCAGACAGGCTGCTTCTACCTGCTGTATCATTGTTGCATCCAACTTTAATGAATTCAGAGGTTGTGGGACTGTCAGCTGAGCCGAGGAGCTGTTCAACAGCAGCAGGATCAAGCCTTAAACCCTTTCTGTCCTGTCAGTTAAAATCAATGTCTAAATCTCAGTGCAGAGTTTGTGGCTGGCGAGAAGGAAGACACGAGCACAGCTTGGGGGTCTGAGAGTTTACCAGAAGATAAGTATCTTGCCTGTGGAGCTGGAGTCAGAATATCCCTAAGGAAAAATGCATCTGGGCAATTTTTTTGGTCTGTCTCACAATAAGTTCTTCACAGATGAGTTCCTTCCTTTTCTAGCTGGCAAAATACTCATTGGCATGTAATACTCCATGCTTTGCAGTCTGGGGATGCAGAGCACACTGTGAGAGCTATGGATTGGCATTAAGGATTGCAGTGATTTTATTTTTTTCTCCCATTAAGCTACTGAGCAGGTTCAGAGTGGATGTCTCTGTTCCAGGACAGTGTGGAATTGGGGTGCATCTGCTCTGGCAGCGCTGAGAAAGTGGGAGCCCGAGACTCCCAGCTGCACCACAGAGCTGCTTCCCTGAGCAGAGCTGCCCATGTGGAGCCCCAGGTTTTCCATTCCAGTCCCTTCACAGCCTCTCATCCCTCCCACTCCAGGTACAGAGCAGACCAAGCAGATTGTCTTTGCTCCCAGCACGGAGCCAGCCTTTGTCACCGTCCCCCAGAACAGCTTTGGGGAGCCCTTCGTACTCAACCCCAGCACCTGGTCTCTGGTTGTTGAAGCAGAGGGTGTGCTGCTGGTAAGGATCTGTGCTCCATCCACCATGGGGGCTTCAGCAGCTCCCTGGGGACAAACTGTCCCAAACATAACAACTCTCCTATTTCTCCTCTTAGGACTATCTGGTTTTGCTACCCAGCTCATACTACGAAGCACCAATCCTGCAGCTAAAGGTCACAGAGCCATGTACCTACCAACCAGCCCCTGAACAAGCCACCCAGAAGTAAGAATCTCCACATCTTTGTGCTGTGGGGGACCTACTCAGCTCCTCTTGACCTGGGTTTAAGGAATATACAGTCCGTACTCTGTGAGGGTCTGGATACAGTAAAACTGCTTAGTAGAGCACTTTGCTGGGATTGTAGAGCTTGTGGAACCTGCACTGGCCCAGAAAGCCAACCCACAGAGCTCCTCATCCATGGCACAGGCAGTTTGTGTGTTCTCATGGACCCTGGAGGGCCAGCTCACCCAGTAAGAAGACCATAGCCTGCCTCCCTGCTAGGCTGGATTCCCAGTGCCAGGTTGTGTGTCAGTCAGCAGTCCTGGAAAATGGCTCCAATGACAGACTGGTAGTGCTTGGAGCTTCTCAGTGCATCTGCTTGCCCAGAACCTCTGTCCATGTTGGCAAGAAGGCTGGTTGGTCTCTGGACACCACTTGTCCCCTCCACTATAGTAATGGTCCCCAGGATAAAGGACAATGCAGGGGGAGAAGGTTTTTATTGTTACTGCCCTCTCTAGTCCCATAATACCCAGTCTCTTGCTCCCCACTAACCAGAGGTGCTCCTTGGCCCTCCTGATAGACCAAAGCCTTTTGCACACCTGGCTGGGACCAGGCTGTGTGGGTGCTCTCGACTCTTACAATCTTGTAGTAACATTTGTACTTTGCAATTTTTTTCTGTATGTTTTCAGCTGCCTCCTGTATCAGTACCTGTCCATGGACGGCTTCCCTGCTGTGTCAGGGGTGGATGCCGTGTGCAGGCTGGACAACAGGCTCCCCAGGTTGTGTCCCACAGAGCAGCTCACCCCCTCCCACCCACGGATGGCCACCTGCAGTGGCAGTGATGTGAGTGGCGCTTGTGTTTCACCCCTCACACGGGCACTGCAGCGCTCACCCCTCTGCCCCCACCCTCTGGTGCTTTACCTCCACCTGGGCAGGCTACCAGAAAGGTTTTACACCCACATGCCCCCCACTGTTGCCCCATCAGCCTTGCAGCTGTGTGCTTGCATGCCCTGCTCAAGGCACTCAAAAACAGTCTCCCATGTAAAGGGCTTGCAAGGACTTGGTGAGAGTTGTCCCATTGTCCTCTCAGATGCAGAGGAGGTTTGTAGCATCCTGCACACACTCACTGTGGAGAGTGGGACTGAAGACCCTCCCTCAGGTCATCCCTCTGTCCTCCAGGTGGAAGTCCAGCTGTCCCTGCCTGTTGCCCAGCCTGGGAAGTACGTGCTGGTGGTGGAGTATGCCAACACCAACGCCCTGCAGACGGTGGGCATTGCCGTGAGCTCACCACACTCAGCCATGCAACAGGGCACGTTCACCTTCTACCCCTGTGTCTACAGGTATGTTCACCTCTGAAAGGGAGAAAGGGCACAGTCCTCCTGTGCCATGGCAAGGATATCTCCCCCCTGAGTGGAACTTTTTCTGGTTTATCACATGAACAGAGTAATGCCTCAGCTGGACACAGATTTTAGTGGCTGGCCATCCACTGGAATTGTGTTCTTGTGCCAGCATAGTCCTCTAATGCCTCTGCCAGGAGCTAATCTGTTGCATCCATTTACAGCTGGATACACTGATAGGGGCCTTGACTTAGGGAATGACCTACAGGCAGGTTTATTGGAGACAGGTCAAACCCTGTCTGACTTCAGACTGCAACCTTTGCAGTAGGAAACAAATGTTTGAGGTGTCCTTGGGAAACTTCACTCATGACTTGCCAGAAAAAACATCAAAAGGAACACTGTGTAAATCCCTTCAGGACATATAGCTGGCAAGATAAGAAATGGGTCATGACCCTGCTCAAGGCTGGCTTCAAGATCTGTGTTTCTCTTGCAGTTTCCTTTGTCGAGGGATTGCTGTGGATTCCCAGAGCCGTATGGCAACTTTTGAACTCACCTCGGAGGCCACCATTCGGTTCACCTCTGATCTGGCTGACTTCTTCCTGGTAAGGCTCCCAGCAAGGGCAGCACTGTCAACAGGTTTCAAGGAGTGGTACCCAGCCTCTAGAAGGATTTTCTAGTACTGTTTGGACTGGATACTAGATCTTAGCCTGTGTAATGACCAGTCCAAGGTGGAGAACATGGTCAATGGGGTGTTTTGAAGTAGATCATGGGACTGGAATTGGGGAGAAAATGGGGAGAAGCAGCTGCTCTTGCAGAGAGATCTCTGCAGCACTGGGGCAGTACCTCTTTTATATTGAAGGCATTCACAGTAGCTCAGCCAAGGATAGAAGAATCCCATAAATGCGTGGAGCTCTTAAATGCGTTAGGAAGAAGGGGTAATGAACAAAGGTGTCACCTGCCATGCATTAGCTGAAGTGTCTGATGAGTGCATAGTTGGTCAGCCTGGTGGGCACAGGAACTGCTGTGGGCTCCAGTGGCAGAGGCTGTCACATAACCAGGTGTCTCTCTCTCTCACGTGTGGCAGCACAAGGTGTACCTCATCCCTGCTGCACAGTTCACCATGGAGCTCATCGAGCCGAAGGTGCATTGCATCAGCGTCCATGGCACATTCTCCTCCAACAGGTACGAGTCTCAGGTCCCTCATGGTTTTAGCATGAATGTGGCTGTTCAAAAAACTATTGCTTCTCTTACTTCCCTAGGATTTGGAGCCATTTAAGTTCTTGACACAATAGAGGGAGATCTCTGGCTGAGGTGAAGCTCCTTGCCTGTGTCCACTGAGCAGGCAGAAATGGAATATGGACTGGGAGTCAGGCTGCTGGCCCTTTATCTGAGCACCACATTGCCTCCTGGGGCAGACACTCAGGTGTTATCCCAAACAGGCATTCCTCTGCTTGCTCTCATACAGCAAGACACTCGCTGTATCCAGATTTTTGACACTGCTTTGAATAAATGTTTGCAGAGGAATTTACCTGTGCCAGATTCCTATTCTTCCTGCTGAGCTCATGTCCCAGAGCCCCAGAGGTCCTGGTAGCGAGCTCTCCCTCTGCAGGCATGCTTTGTAATCCACCAGGAGTTACAGGGTGTGCTTCTCCTGCCAGGACCACAGAACCTCTCTCTTTCTGTGTCAGAGATCTTTAAATCCTGTTTTCTCCTTGTTTTGCAGCAGCTCCTGTGTCCCCTCAAGGTTCCTGAAGCTCTCTCAGTCGATCATTTTGGAGGGGGCCCAGGCTCTGCCCATTGCCCCTGACGTCCCCCTGGCTCAGGCTGTCCATGTGGTTCCATCTGGGGTCCCAGTGGAGCCTGCTCCTCGTCCTCCCACAGCGATGGACCCCACTGCAGAGCTCATCCTCCTGCAGTCCCCACAGGTAGTGAGTGTGGGTTGGGCTGGTTTGCTGGTGCCGTGCCAGTGGACCATTGGGACAGGGAGAAGTTTTCCTTATCTACTGAGTAGCTTATCAATGAGCATTTTCAGAATTGAATATGGACTTTAAACTTGTCCCTGAACCTGTAATTCCCATGGACTCACCTGAGTTAGCTCCATCCAACCCTGCTTGGTTCTCTGGGATCCCAGGAAAAGCTTTGCGGGTGGCATTAGTAGAGGGAGGAGTGTGGAGACATAAGGGGTTTGCTTCAGCAAATTCTCAAGACATGACAGTTGTGCAATAAGAGCACGAATTTGTGCAATAATTAAAAAATATCCCATCTGTGAGTACAGGCATCAGACGTGGATTTTTGTCTCTGTTCTCCCGTTTTGGGCCAGGCTGCAGTGGTGTTCAACAGCCGGATCCAGAGCCTGGGACGCTATGCTTTCATCCTGCACTACTACCAGCCCAACCATCCCACCTTCCCTGTGGAAGTGCTGATCAACGGGGGGCGCATCTGGCAAGGTGAGAAGAGCGAGGACCTGGGGGTGCTGCCAGAGAATAATTTCGGGTTCTTTGGGGATCGCAAAGATGAAGCAAGACTTGCTCATCCCTTCCAAACTGGGAGATGTGACAGGGGCTCCAAGGGAAATGTGGGACCAATACATTTGTTGTCTTTTCAGGTCAGACCAACGCGAATTTTTGCCCACACGGCTACGGGTGCCGGAGCCTGGTAGTTTCTGAGGACCAGATTGTCCTGGATGTCACCGATAATGATCTGACTGTGGTTGTTCGAGTGCCAGAGGGCAAGCAGCTGTGGCTGGTGAGCCTCTCTCCAGGGAGCTCCCAGGGCATGCTGGACCAGGCTTCAGCAGGGCTGGAGTTTTTCCTTGGAATTTTGTCTCTGTGTGACCACAGGAATGTTTCCCACTATCGCTCATTCTCTGAACTACCCAAGAAAGTTACAATCTCTAACCTTAATGGTTAGTGGCTTGTAAGGCCTTACTCCTGCCCTAGCAATATTTTAAACCTGCATAGTATTGTTTATCCAGACAGGTCTCATAATGGGGGCAGGTAGCCCTTGTTATCCTCAGGCAACAGGATGAGAAGATTGACCAAAATTTGGATAAATGGCTAAAAGACAGAGTTGGAACGCAGGTGCCTTCGTGTCTAGAGATTTAAGATGCCAGTGATGCCAGTGACTCCCTCCCTGCTGAGGCACAGCCAGTGCTGCCCTTTAGGGTGTTCTGCCTGTTTTAACTCCAGTAATTTGGGGCACTCCTCACATGGAGCATTAGATTAGATGGATCATGATGGACAGACCCCAGTAGAAGGGTGACCCCTAGTCTTTGCAGTGCTTGGGTGCTTTGTGTGTTATGTTCTGTCCCAGCAAGGGATGAGAGGTTGAGGGTGCATTTGGACTTTGGAGTCATTTTGGGTGGTGTCTGCCTGTCTCAACTGAGAGCCTGGCTCACCCAGCTTGCCCTTGCTTTGCAGGATTACATCCTTGTGGTGCCTGAGGACAGTTACAGCTCTCAGTACCTGCAGGAGGAACCCCTGGACAAGTCCTATGATTTCATCAGCAGCTGTGGCATCAACAGCTTCTACATCAAGTGAGACTTTGGGTGCCCTCTCTGCTGTCTGCAGCCTGCACCCTCCTCAGGGAGCCAACCCACATTCCTTTCATGTGGGGCAGGGGAGGGGGCTGGTTAAGGCTTTCCTTATCTATTATCCAAATGTGGGTATTTAGGGGGATCTCCATGTCACAGGGCTCTCCCTCCCTCTAACTCAGTACCCACTGCTGCAGGAGATCCTGCTGGATTTTGGGGTGGGGGGGAGGCTGTGGGGAGATGTGCAACCCGGGTGACTCCTCCTGCCTTCCCCCGCAGCCCCAGCACGTCGTCGAGGTTCTGCCGCGACTCTGCCATCTCCCTGTCCCTGTTCTACAACAACGGGGCCCAGCCGTGCCGGTGCCACGAGGCCGGGGCTCGGGGCAGCCAGTGCGAGCCCTTCGGTGGGCAGTGTCCCTGCAAGTCCAACGTCATCGGCCGGGAGTGCTCCCGCTGTGCCACCGGGTACTGGGGCTTCCCCAACTGCAGGCGTGAGTTGTCCCATCTCCCGCTCTGCTTTCCCAGCTCTTGCTGGTTTGCCTCTTACAGAGCTGAAGGCTGTTTTGGGAAATGGCTGTGTTCTCCAGTCATGTAATGGCTCCACCTCGTACAGACAGCCCAACTGCCCTCAGAGCAGTTTGAGCTCTGCATCCATTCCCCACACTCTCCATGGGTTTCTGGGTCCTGCTCCACCAAACCCAGTCCTTTTCTGCCCCTTCCAGCCTGTGACTGTGGGACGCGTCTCTGTGATGAAGTGACAGGGCAGTGCATCTGCCCTCCTCACACCCTGAAGCCAGAGTGTGTTGTCTGTGAACCCCAAACCTTTGGCTGCCACCCTCTCATCGGCTGCGAGGACTGCAACTGCTCCCGGCCCGGCGTGCAGGACCTGACAGAGCCAGGCTGCGACGTGGACAGCGGGCAGTGCAGGTGAGGGAGCCTTGTCCCGGCACTGGGGACATCTGGCAGCATCCCTGGTCCCCGCTGGAGTGATGGGACACATCGGCAGGCTGCAGGGAGGAAACATGCAGAATGGGGGAAACTCTGAAAGCTCCTCACACAGCACGACAGAGGTTCTAACGCTGTGACTCTTGTGTCCACCCAGGTGCAAGCCCAACATTATTGGGCGACAGTGTGACCTCTGTGCCCCTGGCTACTACCACTACCCCGAGTGCCGGCGCTGTGACTGCCACCAGGCTGGCACCGAGGCGAGCACGTGTGACCCGGTCACAGGGCAGTGTCACTGCAAGGTCAGTCCCTCGATGCCTTCACATGGTGCCTTTCTTCTTGGCTCCACTCTCCTGCTCTGGCTGGCATTTCGGAGGGCTGTGGGTGCCTAGTGTGCCAGAGAGAGCAGGGATGAAGGAGGAAAGTGTCTGTGTGCCTGAGGTACAGCCAGCCTGCCCCATGGGGTGGTGGGTTGAGAGCACCCTGAAAAGCTCTTATCTCTCCATTTTTCCTGGCCATGAAGGCTCACTCCTTGTGCTGTCACTGAGGAGACAGCCAGTCTGGCTCCACTGCAGTGTCAGAGCCCGTTGCAGGTAAAGCTATCAGCCCTGTTGACTTCTTCTGCTCCTGCATGGCAGCAGAGTAAATCAGGCTGCTGCTGAACTGCCTGCTCCAGCCTCTTTGAAGGGTCCTTTCTCTCAGGGAATTTTCTGTTTAATAAATGCTTTGCAAGCAGACGCGTTCAGGGACTGCTTTATTGTCTTTCGGCATCACATCATTTTGCTTTAATCACTCACACAGCCATCCCTGTCCTCTTGAGAAGCTGCTGACCCTGTTGAGCTTTGCTTGTCTTCCAGGAAAATGTGGAGGGCCTGAGGTGTGACCAGTGCCGCCTGGGGACATTTTCTTTGGATGCCACCAACCCCAAGGGCTGCACCAAGTGTTTCTGCTTCGGTGCGACCGATCGCTGCCGCAGCGCGGAGAAGCACCGAGCTGAGGTGAGAGGGGCCAGGGGCCACAGAACCTGCAGGTCAGGTGTGCTCCATGGGCTCCCTGCTGCCCTCGGGTCTCTGTCCTGCATTAATCCTACCCCTCTGGAAGTTACCCTGTGAGGAGGGTTATCTTTGTTGCTCTGTGCCCACCTCCCACTTTCAGCCTCTTTTCCTCGTCTTTGGGGTCTCCTGTCATGGCGTGGGGGGACTGTACTGGGTAGGAGGCAGGGGTGATGCTCAGCTTTCCAGTGACTTCATCAGGATGCATGTGAGGTGTGAGCCCTTTCCACTGCCCTTTCCACTGCTCTGGGACTTGCTCTTCACCTGAATACTTTCTGTAACTCCACTACAAGATCCACAGTTGCTCTTCCCCCACAGTTTGTCGACATGAACAGCGGGTGGCTCTTGTTGGGCAGCGACCGCCACGAAGTGCCAACCACTCTGAGCCTGAGGGAGCAGCTCATCACCGCTGACCTCAAGAACCTCCCAGATGCCTACCAGGAGCTGTACTGGGTTGCACCCAGCTCCTACCTTGGGGACCAGGTAAGAAGCCGGTGGTGACTGGACCACCCTGACCCCACCAACACGTATGCCAGCAGCATTCCCTCTGACACGCAGGCATTGCTCACGCTCCAGTTGAGCACTGACATCTCTGTCTTGTCTCAGTGGTGTGGACTTGCAGACACATTTGTCTCTCCCTCAGGTTTCCTCCTACGGAGGGCACCTGCGCTATGAGCTGCACTCCAACCCACGGAGGGGTGACGTGTTCATTCCCATGGAGTCCCGCCCAGACGTGATCCTGAAGGTGCAGCCCGAGAAGTTCCCTGGTGCCCCCTGCTACTGGAGGAGCAGGATGAGGTGATGACTGACTCCTTCCTTGCTTTTCCCAGGGAAACCAGATGAGCATTATGTTTCTGGAAAGCACTTATCCATCCCCAGGGGAGGTGCATGAAGGCCGGCTGCAGCTGGTGGAGGTGAGTTTGCACGCTTCATGTGCTCAGATGCTACTGGAAGATCAAGACCAGCATGCAGACAGAGGGGCAACTGCTTTGACCTCAACATTTTATGTGCTGCCTGTTGGCAGCAGAACTGCCTGTGAAAAACCAGGGCTGTTTCACCTCTGCAAAGGGGAGAGATCCCAGCAGCAGGGAAGTGGAGGCTGGGCTAGATTTTCAGGTGCCTGTGCTTCCTGCCAGTAATGCTAGGTCTTCTCCCATCAGGGTAACTTCAGGCACACAGAGACACACAACCCTGTGTCCAGAGAGGAGCTCATGATGGTGCTGGCAAACCTGGAACAGCTGCAGATCCGGGCACTCTTCTCCCAGCTCTCTTCCTCCGTGTCCCTGCGCCGCGTGGTCCTGGAGACGGCAACAGACACAGCTACAGGCATCCGTGCCAGCAACGTGGAGCTGTGCTTTTGCCCAGCTAACTACCAGGGAGATTCCTGCCAGGTAAGGGGGAAAGTGGGCATGTTGTTCCAGTCAGAGGGAGTAAAACAGTCATGGTTTGGGTCCCAGCAACCCCTCGTGCTTGGTGTGGGTGGCAGCTGTGGGGTTTGGATGGCTGTGCAAAGCAGTGGTGCCAGGGCACCAGCTTCTGAGCTGACTCCTGAGGGCTTCAGTTGAAGTTACAGCTCGGGTTGTTCCAAAGGAAGGAACATCTCCCAGGCTCCCCTCCTACCACAACACAGTGCACCTGGGAGATGTTCAATAGCTGCATCTGCCTGGAAGGGGCATGATGGGGAAATCATTCAAGTGTTGCAGACCAAAATTATGTGTCTGCAATACCTTGGAATAGGTCCTTCTGTCTGGTCAATTATCTCCTGGTGATGAGGAGCAGGAAGGAGCTACACTGAAAAATCTTCATCGTTGCTTTTAATCTCTTCTCCATCAGTACAACCCTGTGGGAATTTTGTCATGGAAATCAAATCAGTTTCTTTGCTTTTCCCAAAAGTATCAAGTTGTTTTTCAGATCTCCAACTTTTTCTGTCTCCTCAGGAATGCGCTCCAGGTTACTACAGGGACACCAAGGGGCTCTTTCTGGGAAAATGCATCCCCTGCCACTGCAATGGCCACTCAGATCAGTGCCTGCCAGGCTCTGGGATATGCCTTGTAAGTAAACAGTGAAGCAGTAGGATATTTTGGAGTTATGAGGTCTTCACATACTAACTGAGCTGGCAGGACAGTACCTGAGTCGGAGCATTAGCTGCGTGTGCCATTTAAGGGATGGTCCTGCTCAGGGTCAGTGTAGGGTACAAGGCAGTTCTGGGAAAGAGGCATCCTAGTGGGGAATTCTTATTGCAGTCCACCGCTTCTTGCTGTCAGTGCTGAGCCTAAAGCTTGCCTTTTCCTTGCAGAACTGCCAGCACAACACAGAAGGAGACCACTGTGAGCGATGCAAGAATGGCTACATGGGCAACCCCTCTACCCAAGAGCCCCTGCAGTGTGTTGGGTGTCCGTGCCCTCTTTCAGTTGCCTCCAACAAGTAAGCACCCTTGGATGGAATTCCCTGCCTGGCCTCACTGTTTAACCACTGGGAACCATGCTGTGCTCCACTGGGGCACTGGCTTGGCAGTGGCAGGTCTCCCAATGCCAGCCATTGTCCTTGGCTCCAAACTATGTCCATGGCCTCTTACCTGGGGTCCACACGGCCCACAATGAGTGATCAGCTCCCCTGGCACCATGTCAGGGGTAACTGCACCTCCCTGTGTACCCCTTATCGTTTCAGTTTTGCCGTTGGCTGTGTCAACAAGGGCTCCAACATGCAGTGCCTCTGCAAGCCTGGCTACACTGGACCCAACTGTGAGCGGTAAGGGTGATGGCACCCACGTTTGTGGAACCTCAGACACACTAATCCTGTGCAGCCACTGCTGTGGCAGAGGAGAAGTTGTCCTAGTAAGGACTGCAGTGAAAACGGTTGGCTCTGCCCCTGTGTGCTTTGTTCCGACAGCATTTCCTTCAGTCCTTTCCAGCCTGAAAATGCCCTATTGCTGTGTCTACTGCTGAAATACTGTGTTACTGTGGGTGTATGACTTAGCTGTGCTTTGCCTTGACTTGCAGTCTGTGATAAAGGTACTGTGAGGCAAAGCACAAAGTGCTCTGAGATCCCAAGGGCTGCAGCAGTTACAGGTGTTGGATGCTCACACTGTTACAACTGTGCAACTCCAGCACTGTGCAAGATGAGCTTCAGGATCCCCCGATGCCTTCATGCTGTTTTAACTCGCTGTATTTCTCCAGGTGTGCCCCAGGATACTATGGCAATCCCTTGGTGATCGGCAGCTCGTGCCAGCCCTGCGACTGCAGCGGGAACACGGATCCCAACATGCTGTTCAGCAGCTGTGACTCCCTGACGGGCGCCTGCTCGGGCTGCATGCACCACACGGCCGGCGCGCACTGCGAGGTCTGCGCCCCTGGCTACTACGGGGACGCCGTGGTAGCCAAGAACTGCACACGTGAGTTCTTGCTGCTTTGTGGGGCAGGCAGCAAGCGCAGGGGGAAGGGGAGCTTGGGCAGACTGACTGTGGATGTGCTCAGCACCTTAGCCAGGCTGTGCGTTGTCCCAGTGAGTCACGTGCTTGGGTGCGCGCATTGCAGCATCCTAGACAATAACGAGGAGGTTGACGTGGTGATGTTAGGTCGTAGGTTGGACTTGATGATTTCAGAGGTCTTTTCCAACCTAATTGATTCTGTAATTCCGTGGGGAAAAAAATCTGCCCTCAGCATCATGACTTCCAATCCACCCCCGAATGCAAAACTGCACCCAGGCTGGGTCTTGCCATGGAGCAGCTACTGCAGCAGTGATGCTGATGCTCCTTCTGGAGCATGGGTTTGCACAGCCCATTCCAGCACTGCTTCTCTCCCTCAGAAGAGCAGCAACCCAAGTGCAGCTCACAAAAGTGGGCTGCCCTGGCAGGTGTCATGGGAATAATTTGTGAGGAACAAATCCAAGAGGAGAGAGACTCTGTCTTGCTCTGACTCTGATAAATAAGGGGGAAATAGGATTCCTTGTTGGGAATAAGTTTTGTGAGAGGCTGACAGGGTCTTTAGTGTAATACTGGGTATATTTTTCCCTGACAGAGTGCAACTGTTCACCTTGTGGGACTGACTCCTGCCACCCACGAACTGGCCAGTGCTTCTGCAAGACTGGAGTGACAGGCTTGCACTGCGACCGCTGTGAGGTGAGGGTCACCTGTGCACTGGGATGGTGCCTGTCCTGGGGACAGGGATGAGGGGCAGCCATCTGGTGAAGTCTGGATTTGCATGAGCTGCCCATAGGCAAAAACCTATTAAAGATCTGTCAGCAAGTGGTGGAGGCAGTGTTCCACTGCAGCCAGGGCAGAAATGTGGTATCCTTTGGGAAACTGCAGCAAACCCCATTTTTGTGAATACATCCAGCATGAGAATTGCAGGGCAAGGGCAGGTTTGCAGGGCAGTGCTGTGATGTGTCTGGGTTCTTACTGCAGCTCCACATCTTTAACCATGTTGCTGTGAGTTTTGTGGTGGTCAAAACACACTGAGAAAGCAAGGCTGAGGTCCCACATCACTGCCCCCGGGAGGGAGGCACTCATCCCCTCTTGCTGAACAGGGCACCCTTTGTCCTGCTTTTCCCTAGGAGGGATACTACGGCTTCGAGGGATGCTCGGGCTGCCAGAGGTGTGACTGTGATGTGGGCGCTGTGGGGAGCAGCTGCCACGAGCAGAGTGGGCAGTGCAGCTGCCTGCCCGGCGTCAGCGGCTCCCGCTGCCAGCAGTGCGCCCCGGGATACTGGGGCTTCAGCCAGAGCGGCTGCACAAGTGAGTGTGGGGTCCCAGCATGGGGGAGTGGGACGGGGCTTTGGTGGCACGTGTCCTTGTCTGGTTGTTGAAGGTGGAAAACAACTGGCTGCTGTTGGAGGGCCTGGGTTGCGCAGGGAAACCCTCAGCAGCGGCGTGTGGATAAACACAGCTGGAATAAACACAAAATGATGCCAAGGGCCTTTCCCTGTTATTCAACTCTGCAGAGTGTGAGTGCAGAGGGGGCTCCTGCGACCCACGCACCGGGGAGTGCACGTGCTCCAACGGGCTGACGGGGAAGCAGTGTGATGTCTGCATGCACAAGTACGAGATCCCCGTGGCCAACAGCCCCGACGGCATGAGGTGTGAAGGTCTGTATCCTGCAGTCCTGGGGAAGGAGGTGAGGGAAGCCTGGGAAAGGGCCTGTGCTGACCACTCCGTTCCCCTGGCAGTGTGTGACAGCTGTGTCCTACTCCTGCTGGAGGACCTGCAGAGCATCGAGATGTCCTTCCCCTCCATCCGCGGCCAGCTAGTCAACCTCAACGCCAGCTCCATCGCCTGGGCTCGCCTCCACGGCCTCAACAGCACGATAGTGGCCATTGCTGTGCGTGGAAGGTTCAACATCACTTTGTGCTCATGTTCCCTGACCTGTTGGCCTGATTTTGTCTTTTTTTTTTTTTTCCAGAACCAGCTCCGGGAGTCCCACAGAGCCATGAGCAGGATCAGGCAAAGGGCTGACGAGTTGGAGGATGATAACATGGATCTCACACAGGACCTGAATGCACTGCAGCACAAAGTAGGGTATTCCTTGGCCAGAGCACAAGTCCCTCCTTTTACCAAAATGAAGGCTGTGAGGAGCCCAGTTCAGGCTGGTGGATCTCCTGCCCAGCCAGCACTAAACTTTGCTATCACATTCTCCAGCTTAGGTGCTCAAGCTGGGTTACCTGCATTCCTCCCTTAGGGAGCTGTTAAACTTGATGTGATATTGATGGTTGTTTCTTGATTTACTAGTTTCTTTTGAGGTGGCTCTACTTTAAGCAGTAAAACTAAATTCCATCAAATGTCATTTATAGAAGGAGCGTACAAGGAAGGAACATAAAACATCTGGGTTCACCATGGATGCAGTCTATATACAGTCTAAAACCAAGCAAGATTTGCTTTAATTTGATTTGATTTGTAAGCTACCTGCCTGTAATCTAAGAGAGAGGGAAAAATCTCTACTTGATGATGTACTTCCCCAGACAGCTGCACAGACAGACTGCCCCTGTGTGTACATACGTCTGTGCTCCAAACAGCCAGGCTGCAGCCCTGACATCCTGGTCAGGACCCAGCTGGGCCTGGATCCAGGCTCTGGGGCTTTTCCTGTGCTAACAGCACAGAACAGTGCTGTCCTCTGTGATCTTGGGATTGTTTCAGCATCCAGAGTCTTTGCACTGGAGCTGCATTTACTGCCTGTGCTTCTCTGAAGGTGCTAAATGAGACCACCACTGAATGCATGGCAGGAGAGCAGCACAGGGCAGGCTGTTCTGGTTCATGAACCTCAAGAGCTGCACATTCCTGAGCCTTGTGTGCCTTTTGGAAGCAGCTTTCCCGCTGATCACATGATTTTCCTGACAGATCACATAAAATGTCATCTCATTCTTCAGCTAAGCCCATGTTTTTGTTGTAGATGACCATGACTCACAGAGAAGCGATCCGTGTTGATCAGAACACGAAGGAGACCCACCAGAGGGGGGAACAGCTCCTGCTGCACATCCAAAGCATCCAGAGGGACATTGCAGGTCTGTGAAGAAGGGTCTTCACTTTGGGGTTTTTTTCCTGTGGTATGCCATGCTGTTGGTTTCAACCACCACCAACTTCATCACTTAGGAAAAGCCTTGGAGAGAACAAGGGGAAATAAAAATGAAATTAAGATCCCTGCATAATTCCTGCTTTTACTCTGACCAGGTTTTTGTGGATCTCAGCTGCTTGGCTAAGCACAGTCTTTGGAAAAAACACATTAAACTTGCACAAATGTTATTCAAATGCATAAAATGGGGGCAAACTGCACTACAGCTTTAGGAGAGATTTAGCAAAACAGAGTGGCCAGATCTGGGAGAGAAGGTAGAGCCACAGAACAGTGCTTTGGATGTAGAGGAGGTAGAGCCACAGAACAGTGCTTTGGATGTAGCACATGTTACTGGTAGTGGTAGTTTCTACCTTCTCCTGGCCAAGGAGGCAGAAATGTGGGGCAATGTCTCGGGTGATCTCAAACAATTGTGATTTCTGAGTGCTGCTTGAAAGCTGGCTCTTTGTGAGGGTGGTGTAAGAGGGGAAAGATCCCAGGGAATTATGCAGGGCCTAACCTGACTGATGCTAACGGGGAATTTGGATTTCTCTGCAGACCTGGTGAGGCAGATGACCAGATTTGGGGCAGCAAACACCAGCACCACCTCCACTGAGGAGTTCCGTCAGAAGATGGCCGAGGTGGAAAGCATGCTGAGGGAGATGAGGGGGCGCAGCCTGGGCAGCCAGGAGGAGATGGCAAAGCGTGAGCACGAGGAGGCTCAGAAGTGTGAGTCCAGCTCGGTGTCATGGGTCAGGGCTGCACAGATCCCACTGGGTGTGGCCATTTATGGTTTGGAGCCCATGAGGATGCTACTCGTTGTGGTCATGTTTAGAGAGTGCTGTTAATAACCAGGCACCCCCAAAAAAATTTTACAGGAGTTTCAGAGTCTCCTGTGGCACTGCAATGGGGTCATTTGTTATTTCTTTTCTGAATTTCAAAGCAGAACTAACTGGGCAGTTCTGTTTGGTGACCAAAAATGACAACACTTAGAACAAGGAGTCAGCGTTATCATGTGATGTATTCACATTACGTGTGGCTGTGAATAAGTCACATCATTTTTCTTCATATTTGCTGTCCCAGGAGAGGGGTTCAGTGTAATAACCAGCAGCCTGCACCACAGTAGCTCCACTGTCCTGAGGGCATCCTTGCAGGAGTGAGGGCACTGAGCCCAACTGCATAACCAGGCACGGTGGCACTGTGGGAATTGAACACTTCTGATTAACAGGCCCTGGCAAAACATAACTCAGCAGCTGAAAGCTGGAATTATAAACTGGCTGTTGTTGGAAATAAGTAATTTTTTACAGGGGAAGTAATCGAACACTGGGACAGGCCTCAGATGGGGTTTCTCCATCATCTGAAGCCTTTCAGGCATAGCTGTGCATCTTTCTGACAGAGATCCCATCTCTCTCACCAGCACTGGGGGAGGGAGGGAGAGAAGATGGTCACTTCTGGCCTTGATACTTGCCAAGAGAGACCAGAACCAGGCTTTAAGGCAGCCAAGCACAGAAAGAGCCTGTTAACACAGGAGGATGAATTAGCAACAGTTCTCATCTCCTCTGTCCCATCCCCAGTGCTGCATCGGGTGAGGAGTGAGCTGCACGCCCGCTGGCAGTCCAACCAGGACCTGGTGAGCAGCATCCAGGACCGGCTGGCACAGCACAGCTCCCAGCTGATGGACCTGCGCGATGCCCTCAACGAGGCTGTGAACAAAACCAGGCAGACAGAGGACTTGAACAGCCTGAACCGAAACAACCTGGAGGAGAGCCAGGTAAGACCTTCACCAGGTAGTCCTAGCCATGCAGTTAGGGGTGGGGGGGGCTATCCCAGCCTTGATGGTACCTAACCTTGGGTCTGTGTGTCTAGCAAAAGAGCCAGGAACTCCAAAAGCAGCACGGGCTGGTGCAGGAGACCCTGCGGATGGCCAAGGACGCCCTGGGCCAGGTCTCCGACTTCCTACAGAAGATGGAGCAAGCAAAGGAGGTGAGTGGCAGAGGCACTTTGGCATGGGCAGAGGGCGGGGGGTGGCAGCCCTCAGGACTGACGTGTGTCCTTGCAGGCCTACGAGAAGCTGGCGGCACTGCTGGATGGGGCAAAGCTGCCCCTGACTGAGCGGGTCAAGAAATTCTCCCCAGCCAGCAGCAAGATCCCCATCGTGGAGCAGGCAGAGGAGCATGCCCGGCTCCTGGATGAGCTTGCAAGGAACCTGTCCAGGTGAGGCACCAGTCCTGACCCTCACTAGTTAAACCATCTCCTACCAGAGCTGGGGATGGGAAACTGCAGCTCCACACCATGGCAGGGGAACAGTGGGGTGTCACCTCTAAAACTTTATCCTGGAGCACGTGTGTTGAGGATCCCAAAGGCATTTGTCTGTGAGGGTATGGGCAAGAGCCTGAGCATTTTCCATGGATTTGATGGCTTCATCTTCCAACACAGCATTATCCAGGGCACAAACCAGGATGGCTTTATCCAGCGGGCGATCGATGCCTCCAATGCCTACGCCAGCATCATTGAAGCTGTGAAGAAAGCAGAGCAAGCAGCCCACGATGCTGATGAGGCAGCCAGCGAGGCCTTGATGGTATGTGCTGTGGGGAGCAAAAACCAAACTCCCTCAACCAACTCCCTTCCCTCTGGCACTTGGGGACTTTGTTCTGTGCCACAGAGCAGCACCTCTGCCACAGCTGGGGCCCAACTCGATATTTGAGTCTCCCCATCTCACCCCACTTCAGTTGTCTGAATGAGCATTTGGTGCTCAGTCAGAGCCAGAGCCATGAATTCCTCTTCAGAGTCCCATGTTTGTTTCACAGAATGTCATGTCAGAAAATCTTGGGGCCGTCTCCAAAGTGCTGAAAAGGAACAGCAGCAGCCTGGAGGAGGCTGTGAGGAGAGAGCAGACCAAACTAAATGGAGGTGAGAGAGGCTCCTCTCAGGATGTGATGTCCTTTGGGCCGGACCAAGGTCCCAACACACAACATGTGCATTTCTTTAATTGCAGCTATTAAAGGCACTCTGCAGACAGCAAAGGACAAGCTGGCTGACCTCCGTGTGAGGAAGGAGCAGCTCCTGACCCAGCTCCAGTCTGTGCAGGACATGCTGGGCAGGGACCAAGGTTTGTTCTGGGGTGGCTGGACTGATTCTCTCTGCTCCCTTCCTCATGCCCAGACTATGACCCAAGGGTGCTTTCTCTCTGCTCCTGGCCATCCCAGAGATATTTCTCCTCTCTTTCCAGAGGACACAAAGGAGACAATCCAGAATGCTAAAGCAGCTGCTGCTGAGGCCAACGAAACAGCTGCAAGAGTGGAAGATACCCTGAGCACCATGAAGAAGAACCTGGATGAGTGGAAAGACCAGTACGGAGGCCTTCGAAATGAAGACATGAACCAGGCGGTCGAGGATGCCAGGAAATCTGGTGAGTGCTGAGCCTGCTGGGCTGCCAGGGCTGAGTCTGACATGGGTTTCAAGCTGCCTGAGCTTCTTATTTCCCTTCCTCGCTAACCTCCAAAACTCCTGGCTCCTTTCCAACCCCAGTGTCCAGCCTGGAAAGCACCATCCCACTGCTGCTGGAGAAGCTGAACAGCCTGGAGAACAGGAGGAACAAAAATGCCACTGTGTCAGAGAACATCGTGCGGATCCGGCAGCTCATCACGCAGGCGAGGAATGCTGCCAGCAAGGTGGGCTCAGGGGGATGGAGGGCTCACCTGAAAGCAGTATGCACATGGGAGGGTATCTAGGAGAGCTCTGGGGCCTCCAGGAAGGGTCCCTTTCTCGTGGGACGACTCCAGAAGGTGCTTTGTGTTGGTACAGCTGGCACTGACCGGACAGGCAGCAGCAGCAGCAGCAAGGGGTTCAGTGCCACAGGGCTGGATTTCTTTCCCTGCAGGTGAAAGTCCCCATGAAGTTCAATGGCAGCTCAGGGGTTCAGGTCCGGATGCCCAGCAACCTGCAGGATTTGGCAGCCTACACATCTCTCAAATTCTACATCCAAAACCCTGAGCCCAAGAGCCAGCAGGACGAGACAGAGGAGGGGCGGTTCGTGTTGTACCTGGGCAGCAGGGAGGTGAGACGGGGTCCTGTGGGTGAGTGGAGGGAGCTTATGTTGGCAGCACCAGGGGGGGATCACACCTCGACTTCAACCCCTCACCTGCTCCCCAAATGTCTTTGTGGGAACATGAACAGCAGCCATCAGCCTGGCTGGGAGTGCGTGGGAATTGGAATGGAGGTGTTTGTCCGGTGCAGCCTTGGGAGTGTTAGGGAGAGCTCCTGCCTGTCCCAAATGTCAACATGTGGCCCTGTCTCTTCCTGTGTTCAGGCCACAGGAGACTACCTGGGCATTGTGCTCAAGGACCGCAGAGTGCAGTGGATCTACAAACTGGGCGATGAGGAACCAGCCTCCCTGAGTGTCGACGAGGATATTGGAGAGCAATTTGCCACCATCAGCATCAATAGGTAGGAAGGAGGCTGTTGGGACACATCCCAGGAAAGCACAGCAGGAGACTGCCCCTGCAGCAGATGTGCTGTGCCCAAGCCTGGACAGGCCCTTGAGCTTGTAGAGGTGCTGTGGACTCCACCATCCAGTCATCCCTAAATGACTAACACTGAAACACCTCTGAAAAACTATCAGGGAGATGTTTTCTTACCAATTCATGGAGGGTCTGCAGAAGAGGAAAGATGAAGCTCATCTTCATCTTTGAGGGTCCATTCACTCATGGCAGTGCTGGTAGCATGAATGCTGGCCCCTTTCAGTGTACTGGCGTGGGGCTCCCCAGTGGAAGATGCACCGTTTTCTAGTAGAGCTGTGCGGGGGTGGGCCTTTGCTCAGGGAGGGCAGAGTTGGTTCCTCATTGGGGATGTCCCCTTGTCCTGACCATTGCTCCCTGCTGCAGGATCCTGCAGTACGGGCACATGTCGGTGATCGTGGAGAGGCAGACGGTGCACGAGACCAAGGGAGACAGCGTGGCCAAGGGGGAGCAGGGGCTGCTCAACCTCGACCCGCGCAACGTGGTCTTCTACGTGGGGGGCTACCCCTCCAGCTTCACGGTGAGTCAGCAGGGAGAGGGGGCTTGGCTTTTAGGAGGCATCAGCGATGCCTTTGGAGATTGCTGGGGGGGGGAGAAAAGCCCACTTGATTACATGAGGAAACCAGGATCAAACTTGCCCTAACTGTTGGGTTTCATTCCCAGCCTCCTCCCGCTTTGCGCTATCCCAACTACCGGGGGTGCCTGGAGCTGGACACTCTGAACGAGGAGGTGGTGAGCCTGTACAACTTCCAGCACACCTTCGAGCTGGACACCACTGCTGAGAAACCCTGCGCAAGGTGGGGCACTGCACCCAGGCCAGGAGCAGCTCTACTCCATGACACTTACCCTGACCCTCAGCTGCTCCAGACCATGGGAGTGGTGTGGGATTGATGCCTAGGGCCTCTTCCTGTTGTCTCAGGTCCAAGTCCACGGGAGACCCCTGGCTGACTGACGGTTCCTACTTTGATGGCACCGGTTACGCAGAGATCAAGTTTGAGAGCCAGTTTGGCACAACCAAGCGCTTCGAGCAGGAGATCCGTGTGGTCTCCTACAATGGCATCATCTTTTTCCTGGAGAACCAGGCATGTGCTTGCTCCCCTGGGGAGCCTTAACCCCTCAGTGGGTGGGCTGGGACAATGCCAGGCCTGCTTGCAGGCATTCCAGTTCAGGACACTAGGGAGAGGAGGGCTCTGGAGGTCTCAGGGCTGCTTGGAGCAGGATTTCTGCACTGTTGGGAAAAGTCACCATGAGAGGGCTGAACCCAAACCTCACAGGAGTCACTCATCTGGTTCTGGAGAGGCTTCCCAGAACTCAGAGAGCACCCATGCACAGGCCCTCCAAGCTGGGCCAGGGTTCACTGGGGCAGGAGCATTTCCAGCTTGCAGTGTTATCCCTGTGCCCCTGCACAGGGCCACTGTTCACAGATAAATCCCAAATAACTGTACCCATAGTGTGTCAGGGCACTGGCAGTGGGACCTGCTCCCACTGGTGCTAAAGGGCAGGCGGGCTCAGTGCCACAACTACATCCTGGACACCAGGACGTGGGGCTGAGTGTCCATCCTGCCTCCCCCCAGGGTCAGTTCCTGTGTCTGGCCATCCGGGATGGGAAGCTGGTGCTTTACTACGACTTCAGCTCTGGCCTGGAGATGGCAAAACCCAGCAACTCCTCCTCCCTCACCATCAGCAGCACCACGAACAAAGCGGTAAGAGGGGACAGTGCCTGCCAGGCTTGCTGGGAGGGGGAGAGCTCCTCATCTGTGGTGGGGAGGCACATGGACCCTTGTTTTTGGGGGGCAGGGGAAGAGCTGCAAGAAGTTCTTTGACGGGAGCCATAAACTAGACACCCTGTGCTGCCCTCAGTGATGGATATAATTGGCCCAAATTGATTGATCATTTCTCTCCTCTGTCTCCAGATCCAGATTTTCCTTCTCAAAATGAATAACAAGAAGCGCATCCTGGTGCGGCTGGAGCGCCTCACCATCTTCGTGGTGGAGCAGGAGAACTCCCTGGAGAATGCTGTCTCCTACTACCTGGGTGGTGTTCCCCCAGCTGTGCTGCCTCCCAGGTGGGTCCAGACCGTGGTGGGGTGGGATAGTCAGCATGTTCCCCTCCCTAGTCCCTGCTAGTAGCCCTGGCCCTTTCTCAGCCACATCCAGGGCTGTTGGGGCCCTGCTTAAGCTCTGGAGGAAGATTTTCTCTCTCCATCTCTGGTGTGGGATGAGGTATCACCAAGTCCTCCTTTGCTGTGCTGGGTACTTTGGAGCAGCCTCGTGCCTGAGGCACTGGAGATACCCATGACCATCACGGCTCCTTCCCAGACACTTTGTCTGAAGAGCTGCAGGGCCAGATCCTGCCCAGGGCTGGGTCCTGCCTGGGGCTGTCCTCATAACACTGCTTGCTTCTCCGGCAGCTTGAAAGCGCTTTTCCCCACGGGTGGGCCCATCCGGGGCTGCATGAAGGGCTTGAAGGCTCTAGGAAAATATGTCGACCTGAAGCGCATGAGCACCGTCGGCGTGAGCTACGGCTGCACCTCGGACCTCCTGGTAAGCACAGGAGGCAGCCTGGCCAGCCATGCTGAGGAAAGGGGCTGTCAGGGAAGGGGAGCACGGGAGCCCCAGGACAGGCCCCATCTCCCCTCATTCACACAGAAACAGGGATAAAACCCCCAGGTCCTCAGCGTGGAGGGGTCACGGTGAGGTGCTCTGTGTGGTTGGCCATAGGACGAGCCAGGCCCAGTGAGGACCACAGTGCCTCAGTCATCTCCCAGCACCCCAGCAGCGCCAGGGCCAGGCTCCCACCTTGCCTCCATGATATCTCTCACAGGTTGCCCGTTCAGTCAGTGTCCATGGCCACGGCTACCTGACCCTGGCTCTGAAGGACGTGCCGGGGCTGCGGGACTTCTACAGCGGCTTCAGCTTCCGGACAAGCCAGCGTGAGGGGCTGCTCTACCACCACACCACCCAGGTGGGCACCTGCAGGACCCCTGGGTATCCCAGCAGTGGTGCTGCTGGTGATGGTGCTGTTTCCCCTTGGAGGAATTTTGGTGGGGCCAGCGGGTGACTGCAGTGAGATCTGCACCCTGAGCTCCTGGGGGGCAGTGGGGAAATGGGCCCTTCCTTGGGCTGCTGAACAGCAATGGGGTGATGCTTTCTGCAGGAGGGGACGTGCCAGGTGTCCCTCCAGAGGGGCCAGCTGGCCTTGAACCTGCTGGGAACTGAAGTCACCACTGGCAATGCCTATGCAGATGACAGGGCCCACTACGTGGCCTTCTACAGCGATGCCCGTGGGTACGTGTCCTGGTGTCCTGTGGGGGCTGGGGTGCCAATGGCCACAGGGACCTGCTGAGCCCCCACTGCTCGTCCCTCCCCCAGGGTCCGGCTGTACGTGGATGACGAGCTGCAGGACACAGCGACAGGCCCCGGGCCCAGCCGGCGGCAGCGGCGCCAGGACGGGCGGCAGCTCTTCCAACTCGGGGGTTCAGCAGATCCGGGTGCCCTCAGCAACCTCACCGGCTGCATCGGGAATGTCTTCGTCAAGCGGTGAGCAGCTCCGTGCCACTTCAGAGAGCAGGGCTCAGCCCTGTCCCACCTCCCCTCTGCTCTGGGTGACAAGGACCTCTTCTCCCCGAGTGTAGGGTGTCAGAGCCACAGATGGTGGTGGACCTTCAGCAGAACGTGGAGAGCATCAATGTCACCATGAGCTGTCTCTGGGGTGAACAGCCGCAGCAGCTCAGAGTGACTCCAAAGAAGGACAGGAGGAAACCCAAGGTACCAGCTGCTGCCAAAACTGCCCACATCCTCATCCTCCTCACATACCACTGCTGAGCACCTCTACTGGCGCCTGCTCCCCTCACCCCATTCCTTGGTGTGTGTTGTGTAGGTGCCAGGCAAGCCTGCCCCCAAGGGTCGCCGCCACGACCAGGATGGGCTCTGCCAGCTGCACCCCCAGCCCCGCGCAGCCAAGGGCACCTTCCGCTTTGGGGGGGCCCCGAGCAGTCGCTGGGAGTTTGATGAGATCCCAGCCTCCTTTGGGTGGAGGTGAGCCTTGCCCCATGCCCACCCCACACAAGCTTGGCCCTGCTGACCGTGGCTTGGAGAGCAGGTGTTGGAGAGCCGGGTGCTCCCATTACCCCCTGTCCCTGCAGGTCCCATTTCTCCCTGGAGGTGAAGCTGAACTCTTCCAGTGGGTTGCTGTTCTACGTGGCGGGTGAGAGGGGCTCCTTCATGGCTCTCTTTGTCTCCAACGGGCGCTTTGTCTTCCTGGTGGACGTGGGGCAGGCGCCGGCTGCGGATCCCGCCAGCAGGGACAGTACCGGGGACCGGCCTGGCACCGGTTGAGGGCAGGGGTTGGGGCTCAGCAGGACCTCTTGAAACCACATCACTACCCCCTGTGCCAGGAGCCCCTGCAGGGGTTGGCTCACTACAGCCCTGCTCTGGTAATCGCTTCCTGATACCACATGGGACACCTGCAGTCCCATGGGAGCAAAGGAGAGAGCAAAACCACAGCCAGGGCTGGCTGAACCTCTGAGCTGAGCCTTCCTGTCACTGGGCACATCCCTGGGGCTCCTCCCAACCCAGAAAGTTGCCAGTCCTGGCACTGACCTTTGGTCCTTGCAGGTCTTCTTCAGCAGAGACCAGAGCCGGGCCCAGCTGGTCATCGATGGGCTGCGAGCCCAGGATGCTGCAGTGGCCACCACAGGGCTCTTTGTGGCCCAGACCCCCTTGTATGTGGGAGGGGTCCCAGCTGGAAAAGCCAAGGCTCACATACCGGTAAGGGCTTGGCACTCCCATGGCATTGCCTTGTGCCTCCCAGGTTTTTCCCCCTCTGTGCTCAATCCAGTGACCTCTCTCCACAGGCTCCATTGGCCTTCAGCTTTGATGGCTGCCTGAGGAACCCACAGCTGGATGGGAGGCCCCTTGGTCCCCCCTCACGCACCTTTGGGGTGACACCCTGCTATGAGGGCGCATTGGAGAGCGGGGTCTTCTTCGCTGTGGATGGCGGGTCCATCACCCTAGGTACCAACAGCAGCCTGGGCTGCCTCCCACAGCCCTGGGACTGGGTGGAACATATCCTGTGGGAATCCCCTTGTCCCTCTCCTCACCAGTGGCATTTCTCTTCCAGCTAATGCAGTGGTGACTGAGCAGGACTTGGAGGTGACACTGGAGGTGCGTCCCTGCAGCACCTCTGGCCTCATCTTCCACATCGGCACAAGGAGAAGCCACTATCTCCTGCTGTACATGGAGGAGACCAAGGTAGTGGGAGGGTGCCCTCCCCACAGGTTTTCAGAAGCAGTGTCCATCTTCTGCCTGTCCCACTCTGCTCACTGGTCTCTGCCGGGTTTGTCCCACTCAGGTCACTGTGAGAGCAAATGCTGGGGCTGACGAGTTCTCTGCGTCGGTGACATGCCCATCTCTCTGTGACGGGCAGTGGCACACCATCGCAGGTGAGGTGACAGCCACTGCTTGGCTCTGGGACCCTGCCCCACTCCTGCTTAGCCTACACCTCCTGGGGAAGCCCAGGGCCCTTCCTTGGGTATTTAAACCCCAGCCCCACCTGTATGCACTTAATTTGGGAGATTGTAGCTGCCATTAAGTAATTTCTTAATTCATAAAAGTCCTTGCCTGATCTTAGTGCTGTCAGATCTGGTGGGCAGGAAAGACAGTGTTTTTCCAGGTCATGGAGCAGCCAGTGAGGACAAGGATGTCCCTGTGGGACTGGCTCCATCCAGGACTGTCATGTCCTACTGAAAGTGAAAGCCCAACTTGCTTTGGTGTTGAGTGGGTCCAGGGGGCTCAAAGCCCACAGCTGGGAGGAGGGATTGCAGGATTCACACCTGTACAGCAAACTCAGCCATGAATGTAGCTGGTATTGAACAAGTGCTGAGGGTTTGCATCAAGCCCTTTTTGGGGCTTGGGGTCAGTAGTTTTGCTCTGCTCCAGCACTGGACTGAGCCAGAGGGTGGAGATGGACTTGCTCCCTGGGTAAGGAAGCAACGCTGACTGTTGTTTTTTTTTGAAGTTACCAAATGGAAAAACATAATCCAAATTGATGTGGACACAGAAGGCAACCACACAGTGGGACCCAGCCAGCGTCCTGCACCCAGCACAAGGGCGACCTTCTCCATGGGAGGGCTGCCAGGTGAGTTGGGAAAGGCGCGCCCCAAACAAAATACCCCAAAGCCAAGTGAGGTACTCTTCCTGGTGCAAAGAAGAGGTACTTAATCCCCTGCCCTGTTATGAGCCAGACTAATGCCTGCTTTTCCTTGTTCAATCTGCAGAGACAGACAAGGCCAGTACAGGGCTGCTGTTACCTCCCCTCCCTCATTACGTGGGCTGTGTAAGGAACCTGCTGATTAACCGGAGGCACGTGGACCTGCCGCGAGCCGGGACTGCGAGGGGCTCCGTGGGCCTGAAGGGCTGCCCCGTGCTGTAAGTGCCACATCCATGCCCAGCCTGAGTGACACAACGCTGCTCCAGGTCCCGGTGTCACCACTCGATGGCATCGACCGTGCTCAGACACACTTGAACTCCAGTGACTGCAGGCACAAGTCTGGGCCACACGAGAGGGGCCACGAATCCAAGGGGAAGGAGGGCAGGGGAGGACGGCTGGGGAGAAGGGGGCACTTTGGGGATGTTTCACAGATAGAACCAACAAGTCGGAGTGGGATGTGGCGACAGGCAAGTCCTTCCCTGGTGGTGAAGCATCTGCAGCAGGACTTGTGCTGCCATGTGGCTCGTGATGGGAGCGACTGCCCGTGACAGAGCGTGGGCTGGAGCACACGGCAGCGTGTCCTGGATCCTGTTCCCTTCACCCCACACTCACAATGCACATAGATTTAGTTCACAGAACACTCAAGGCTATTAATAAACTGTCACAGACTGTCTGCTGATAAAGGCTGCAGGCAGTTTCTGTTTTATCATAAATGCAATTAGGACAAACTGGATTAATTCTGTCAGTTTTGTGGTTTTATAAGCAAGGGCACATTTAACCTCCCCCCGCCAAGGGCAGCCTCAGCTCACCTGCCACGCTACGAAAAGAGCTCTGCAAGGGGGAACTTGGACAAAATTCTGTTCACAGAATTAGCATCTTCTAATCAGAGTAATTTATAAAAATCAAAAGAAAAGAACAGAATATCCTGGGAGAACTGCTGGGGGAAAGCAGAAACACAACCACCACTGACTCTGCAGTTGCATTCAGCACTGGCAGTACAATGACTAAAGTCCTGTTGTGTGAAGCAAGAAACTATTGCTTGAAAGGGAAGAAATAGAAAGGTTACCTCCACATCTGGCCAGGTGTGCAAGGTGACACCTGGCCCTCACCCACCCTGGCTCCTGCTCGGCCTCCCTCACACCTGGTGTAGTGCAGCCTTCACTTGAAAACAGCTTTTTTCCCTCCCAAGACACCCAGTTCACTCGTGCACTTACACGTCATTTATATATTTGTGTGTGTATATATATATATCTGGCCACTTGGGGACAAAATCTTGCTTCTGAAATGGACTTGTAACTTATATCATTATATTGTGGGGGTTTTTTTTATGAGGGGTAAATATTGTAAAATGGGTTTTTAACATGTCCATCCTAAACAAATGTAATTATGACCTGTTTTTAAAGTTGTAGTATTAAAAGATGGTCTTTGTAAATCACTGGTACATACTTTGGAGTCAAATAAAGTTTTATGTTACTCTCTTTCACTTTACTGGGGAACAGTAAGGATGAGGCTGATGAGCTGGAACAGGGATAATCAGCATCTCAGGAAGCAACACAATAGGGACTAGTGTACAGATTGGAAAGAACAGTATGGCAGATAAAGAAAATTCCTTTATTTGTAGATTTATAGAAGCATAATATGAAGTTAGTAATCCTACTGCAGTTGTTTAAGTTAGTATCTAGGAATATCTGTAAGGAAGAGCAAATAACTTAATCTAAACTCATATCTTCCTCTTCATCTTTCTTGTCCTTAGAGTCTCCTTCCTTTTGCTCTGACTTGACACTGTTCTGCATGGCTTTGGCAAAGGCTTCCACATCTAGAAATTAAACATACTGGTTACTGAACTTTGCATTTTCTGGGCCAGACATTATTGTCCACATGAGGTTAAGCTTCATTACTTGGAAAGCAAATAGGTGCTTTAGTATGAATTAGCAGGAAAAAAAATATTAAACACTTAATATACATCCAGATCTCTCTGACACAGCCAGCACTTTTTACACTTGAACTGTGCATGGGCAGCCTAAGACCAGAATTCCTGCAGTAATGGAAGGGATGCTAAAAGCTCATTAGGGAAAAGGGATACCCCCTACCCCCCAGAGCTATGGGGCTGTGTTTGCTGTTTTCAGATGAATCAGTAAGGACTCCCACAAAAAGGCATTCCTGAACAAGGTGACTGTGACACCTCTAGAAAGAAAACAAGGCCAAGGCTGCTCAGCAAATCTCTGCAGAACTCACAGTTCTCTGAATCTGTGTCTGACCTCACTGTGCCTGCTGGGGAACACCCAAAATACCTGCCTTTTCCTTGTAAAAATCAGTGCAGAGTCAGCTTTGGACAGTCACATAGAAGCTGATCACACTCCACACTCAGTGGCCAAATAACCCCAACAAAACACCACCTCATCCTGTCCCCACCAGCACCAGTACTTACCACCTTTATTTGCTGCATCTACTGCCTCTGCAGGTAACCCAAACTGGCTCATTAGTGGGCCCAGCTGTCCTGAAGCTAAGGCAGCACTGAACATGCTCAAAGCCTGTGAATCAGAGTCAACAGCATCAAAATAAAGTTTGCATCGTGTTCCTGCAGCATCAGGTGGGTGCTGGGCAATAACCCCAGGAGGAGAGTGGTCCTGTCAGGGCACAGTGGCCACACACCCAGCTTGGGAACAGATACTCCATCAAATCCCTCACTTCTGAGTCTTGGCTGCATGTAGGTTTGCTGCAGTTTAAACTAAAAACAGTAATTTAAGCCACCGAAATTTTGCAAATTGACAAATTTCAATCAATCTGTGTAAATAACTAGTTTGCACTGGACTGTAACACACCAGCTTTAATCACACAGTGTCCTGGAATTAAGGACTGGTGTTTCAAGAGGAACAAGGGATGCAGTGCTGTAAACATGAGCATCTCTTCCCTTCAGTCACTTGAAATTACTTTTAAGGAGACTGCTCAAGCCACTCTTTGACAGGGAGTGTGCTGCTATCCCTGTCATTTGCCAGAGAGCATTTATAATAAAGAGAAAGGTAAAGCCCAACTCCAAAAGAAAAAGTAAAATCATTCCTATCTGCCTTTGGGTGACTGCAGGAAGGAAGAACCAGTGCTCCTTTAAACCATGTCCCTCCTCCTTTCCACTTGTACTGAGCAACTTCCCACTCTGAAAAATGTCACCTGTAAAATCAGGAGCATGGTGCAGGAGGGAAGGAGAAGTGCACTTTCCCCCACAGCCAGGCATCTACCTACCTGCTGGAACTGAGGAGACGTCAGGGTGTTCTGGATCTCTTCTGCAGTCTGCGGCAGGGATTCCCCTGAGGGAAGGTAAGGCATCAATCGTTCCTGAACTTCAGCGTTGGCCAGGATGGGAGCCATTATCTCAGGAGTCAGAACAGCTGCCAGGTCCACTAGGAGAAAATAAAGGGTTGGCCATTAGACTATGCACAAACCCACGTGTTTTTGTCATGTAAATCAAATTATCGAGTGTGATTATTAAAACATAGTTAGCACACTGCCAGCATCCTTTCTCCCTTTCTCAGTTTTGGAGTGAGAATAAGACTTCAAGCACCAAGAACAGCATCAAAATTTTAAAAAATTTAAAAAAAAAAGAACCAAAAAAATGGTAAGAGACCTTTCAAACCAGTTTGGAACAGGACAGGACAGTAAAACAGCTCCATAGGATTCCTGGATCCAAAGCTGTCTGGCCAGAACACTGTTACCTTGCTGTCCTCCTGCTCCAGATGGCACATTCATAGTAGCTAAAATGTTCTGAAGGTCACTCAATTGAATGGGCTGGGTTGGGCTTGTGGCTGAGCTGGTTCCATTACCCGAGCTGGGAACGGGGCTGGGACTGGTCACGGAGGCAGCCGCAGGAACGGACGGGGCAGGCGTTACACGGGTGGAAGAAGTCGTGGAAGATGGAGTCACTGCAGCTGACTGGCTGCGAGAGCTGGGCAAGAGAATTGGGAGAATTAATCCCCTGCAAAAACCTCCTGTACCCTGAAAAGCTTCTTTTCAAGCCCTTAAGAGTATCAAAAGCCCCTACCCCACTTTAGAGAGGTAATAAGCAGCCCCAATTTCCACCGTATTCCCCATTCAGTAGGCCAGGATTCCTCCCACAGAAGTGGCAGCTTCACGTGACAAACCCTCCCCAGAACCAGGGCAGACAGGCCTCCTACCTTGATGATGAACTGCTGGTCGGGGGTCCCCCACTCCCGAGCAGACTGGCCAGCCCAGGCCCCGTCAGCGCACCCAGCCCACCTTCCGTAAACACAAAACAGAAACACGTTTAGACATTTATTCCTTCAGGTTTTCTGCACCTCTCTGCTCTAGAGAGGTCGCTCTTGTACCTGAAAGGTTTTTTGTTGCTAAAATAGAGGAGGGGATGAAAGAGCCCAGCCTAAGGCCCCCCCACCCCCTTCTGTAAATTATCAGCTCTTGTTCTCTGATATTGCATCCCTGAACATTTCCAAAAGGACTCGATTTCTAGGTGTACACAAGGATGAAATTGCTTCAGTTTGTGCCATACATACATAATCATTGTAACACCACCCTCTCCTCTTATCTACTATCCTGAAAATCCAACTTCTCTCCAAACTTTCAAGTCAAGGCCCTCAGCAGAAGATCCCAGAGGCACCTTTGAGTCAGCACCACTGTCTTCCCCACACACTGGGGTTTTGCAGCTTCAAACCTAACGCAGAGATGCAGCAGCAGAATCAGCTGAGCCCTTAAACACTTCGCAGGTCAAGTGAGGAAAACCCTGCACAGTAAGTGCTACCAGGGGAGCAGCCAGCAGGAAACCAACAGCCCTATGCCAAAGAAATCAGAATCAGCCTCCTCCATCACACATCCAACCAGCAAGGACTTATTGCAGCACTGAGAACCTCAGCTAACAAGAGCCTGGGGAAAGGCCTGGCTGCTGGGCCCCCTGGAGCTGTCAGGGACTCGACTGTCCCCCTGCAACTCCTCTGAGCCACATCAGCCAAACACTCCAATTCCCACACTCTTCCTATCAGCAGTTCCTTGTGCCACAACTTACTAGACACACATCCCTACGACAAGCACCTGCATCATCACCCACCTTGGGAGCTGCCTGTGAGCAGAGGACAGACAACAACAAGCAAACCTGTGGCCAACTGCAGCTGCAGACTCTGTGGGTCAGAGTGAGCCCCACCAGTCCCTCCTTCTACTGGACCCATCCCATGGAAACACGTCCCAACACTTCTGTCACCCATCCCAGAGCAGCAGGCACAGCAGGTGAAGGACCCCTGGCTGGACCACCCTGCTCTGCTCAGTTTGTCCTCACTAAGTGGAAGTGACCCATGAGCAAGAGAGCTCCTTTGGAGCTCTGCAGAGCCCTGAGAGATGCAAACCAGATGTGAAGAAGATGACACTCCCAGGGGAAATGACCCCCAGGGATTCACCACAACCACAGTTTGCAGAGGCAAGCACATGGTTCTCCTTTGGTTACAGTAGTGACCTTCATGTCAAGCTGGCTTATGGCTGGATGTAAAGGCGAAGGAACAAGAGCTACTGAGAAAAAGTGGTGAGAAGAGAAAAAGTCTCAGGATTATGTAAAGCTTCAAGAAGGAAGAACTTTTCCAAACACATCCTAAAAAGCCAGAATCTTCCAACACTAACATGAGATTTGCATCTGAACATCCCACCAACAAAATTTGCATCTAAAGCTAAAAAGACACAAGCCAGATCCACAGAAATGGACTTCGGAGCTCAAGCACAGAACCTCAGTCCCTGCCATCTGTGTGCCTTTGCCTTTCACTTGAGGGTCTGACCTCTCAGAAAACGCTCTTGGAGCTCGGTAGAACTGAGAACAGACCACAGCAGGGACTCCAACACATCCCTCGCCCCTCAGAAACCAGCACAGTGATTGAGCTCTCCCCAGGGTAGCCCAGGAGAGAAAGCCCTGACCTGAGCCTTGCCCCCCTGACCAGGTGTGCTGTGGGCTCGGCAGGCTCCAACCTTCCTCTTGAACTTTCTCTGCTTTGCACACAAATATTCACTGAATCAGAGACAACACTAACAACTCCACAGCTTGGTAACCAGGACATGCACCAGGAACAAACCCCTGGTTTTCAGCCCCTGCTCCAGTGAATATTTAGGAGGAAGAGGAGGAGTAGAAAAAAGGAGGGGAAAAAAAAAGCAGAAAGATCAGTGCAGCAAGGAGTAGACCAAGGCTGCTTGCAGATCAAGCCCTGAGATGAGTGCTGTGTAGAATGAGGTACCCTTTCTTGCCCTGAGCTCATCTCTGAGGCAGGGCCTTGCCTTCTCACGCTATTGAGATCAATAGCGCTACTTGAAAATATTGTCAGGTAAGATTTAACCTGGCAGGAGAAAATACCATTTTGGCATAAAGATATTAAAGCATTTTACCAAGTCCTCCTAAGCCCGTTGGTCCGATCAGCTGCATGAGCTGGTTATGGCTCATGT